CTTTTAAGCGCCATAATTTGAGTCAAAAGTTGAATTTAGTCGAGTTTAACAATTAGGATTCGATTTGATTGCAAAAGATGAGCGGACAATTAATCAAAACTCCTAAAATTAGTTCTTAAAGCAGCCATAAAATTTACAATAAATGCAAATTGGATTTGAATTTTGTTGTTTCAATATTTGGTTGTTATAAAAAAGCAGTTTTGAGACTCAAAATGCTCAGTAGACGCTGACTCCATTTCCTTCTCATGTATCCAATCTTGTGCTTTAACTGAGAGGTGTGATAAGTGGATTGATTTATTGATTATACAGTTCTTTTGTTGGATCGAGTTCAGGGTTCAGAGAGTTTATCTGCCTGTTTTCTGCCAGCTGTTCTGCAATGCACAGTAACCTGTCAGTGCTGCGTTACTCTGTACTTATAACAGCTGGGAAAATCCCTCAAGCAGATTCTAGAGTATGTCATTAAAAGGACATTAAAACACAAGGCAAGTTTATTTATATTGCACCAAAAGTAATTTACAGGACATCAAAGGGAAGAAAAAAAAATGCATGTTAAAAATCTGATTTTAAGGGCAGAATAGAAACAAATGTTTCAAGCAGCTAATTATATAGAAAAGGCTGCAGTAAACAAAAGTGTTTGCAGGAACCAAAAAAACAAAATTGCTGTTGTATTTCTTATTGTAGGGTTGTATTGACATAAATTACCTAAATAAACTACTAAATCATCAGCAAAAGCTTTGCATTGCGCTCCAAATCACAATAGCTGAAGTCTCTGCTAGGGGTGACCTGATTTATTGGTGCTAATTTTATCCTCGGCCAATTTCTACATGTGAAACCGATCTTTTCCACCTTTGCAAAGGTCTAAAAGCCCACCACAGTGTCCTTTTCTGCTCTCCCATGAGGAAGGTTTGTCTGACAGACTGACCCACCAGCTCACGTCTGCATTTTAACAATCGTTACCCCACTGTTGCCAGTTCAGCAACTTTCTTGCAATATTGAGCAACCTTTCAGACAAAAAGAATTGGTATCGGCCAAAGTCGTAAATGGCTGGTTAGGCTTTTTAGAAGATTGGTTATCAACGATCGGCCAGAAAACCACAATCGGTGCACCACTGTTGTCTACAACCAATAAAAGTTCAAACTCTCACTTTTGTTTTCCTTAAATGCTTTAGGAGACAGTCTCTTTTACAGAAGTTAGAAAGCTTAATTTAAAATTGACTTCTTCCCACTATACCTGATTTAAAACTTAAAGTTGATGGATCAAATCTAATTATGAGGAGTGAAAAAGGATGTTAAAAAATTAGGAATTCACCAGAAAATATTATTTGAATTTTTGCTTTGTGTGTAAAAATGAATGGAAAAAACTTCTTCCCTATGGATATTTTATAGTCCAAGACAAAGTGAGGATTTCAGTGTTTTTTGTAATTGGTGCAGAGCAGCAGACAGTGACAGATTGGAGCGATGGGGAAACACCTCCATGTGTGAAACAGAGCAGGATCGCCTGCAGCACTGAGGAGGTGTGAATGGGATTTTCTTCCTGATGTGGGAATCGACTGAAGTGAAGATCGGTGTCATTCTGACGGCAACACCTGGGAAAATCCCTCTGCTTCAAATATTATGCAAATTCTCTGTACTGTTAGAAAAATAATTGATTTCTTGCATTTTTTGTTGCGCTGAAGCATCCGTGTTTTTATATCTTAAAACAAAGTCAACAACATTGCATTTTACCATTGTTACGCCTCAGATGATTGATTGTTTTGTGGTTATGTTTTATAAGCAGCTCTAGACAGCTGTGCTTTTTGTCTAGATTTAATGAAACTCAGTGTTTTGGCTGTTTTGCTGTTTTTTGGTAGTTTTGTGGTGCATAGAAGCTGAATGCTGATTCCTCATCCAGAACCAGAAGACCTGAGAGCTCTGAAAGGTTAATACAAGAACAGCAGATCTTTAATGTACTTTAGTGCTAAGCTGTTCAGTAACAGTAATATTTTAATGTCTATTCTAGTCTAAAATTGGTGTGATGGTCTCTGACGTCATAGTTTTAGTCAGAACACCTGCAGCAGCGTTCTGGGTCAGCGGCAGCTGGAGGACAAGTTTTTATTTTTATTTTCTGACACTGTTGCAGTAATCTATGCGACTAAAGACAAATGCATGGAAGAGTTTCTCTCGCTGACCCTGGGAGAACGACATGATCCTAACATGCGCATGTCCGCCTGCAGGAGACATGAAAACGCTCCTGGCCTGAAGCGTCTCTGACTCTGTGGCAGTTTGAGAGTTGAAACATCCAGAGTAAACTACATATCTTGTCTCTGTGCACCTTGTTTGGTCATATCAGCCAGAGAGGATTTGCTGTGCTGCTTTATATCAGCAGGTATCTCTTCTGCTTCTCTCTCAAAACAGGATGTGAAGCAAGTCCACTTCCTGTGTGGCTTGTTGTGCTCCGATAACAAGCCGCATGTCGCCTTATATCTGTTCCTCTTTATGATTTCCCATGAAGTTTTTGCTGTTATTGAACCCTCAGCTCCCCTAAAGTGCCTTTGATTTTGTTTTTATTCAGAAGCACGAACCTCAGCAGGTTCATGGATTAATTCGACTTACCTTTCCCTCTTCTGAATAGAAGCCTCGACTACAAAGGTTTCACTTATATTTCCTCCCTTTGATGGGAATTCTCTGCTTTGATGTAGCTTGAACTTTCCTGCAGCATGATGCCTGCTTTGCTGTCTGTAATGAGACGCTGCAAATAAAAACGTTCCTTCTCAGGCGCTAAATGAGGAGTTTAAATCCAAAATAAGAAGCCATGTTCAACGTGAAAGACGTCAAAGATCGGCTTTTTTAAAATGGCACTTTTAAAGATGAAAGGAGTACGTTTAGCTGCTTCCTCCTGCCTTTGCTTTAGACTGGGACAATTCTCACTTCTGCAGCACTTTGCTGAAATATTCAAAGCAATTAATCTGTTTCACATCTTGTCATGTTGCATCTGCAAACTTCATTGTGTTAAATGGATATTTGAGACATCAAACTAATAAAAAAAATATTTGATTTGATTTATGTCATTAGGACAGAGAAAAAGTGTGCATACATAACCAAGAACAAAATAATATCTTTACCACTACTTTTCTGTTTGAGAATGAGTTAAACACTGTTTACTGACTCAATAGTTAGCAAAAATGTGTAATTAAAACCATGTCATAGTATTCATGTGGCTGTTCAATATACTGTTAAAACAAATAAATTATATTACAGACAAAATAGTTAACTAAAATAATGATAAATGTAAATAACTGGATGTACAGAATCAAAATAATTACCAACTTTTTGACAATCTACACCTATAAATTCTTCTTAATCTCTTATATAACAATGAATAAAATTGACTTCAACCTTATGACAATAAGATAAGCAAAATGAAACAATTAAATGACATACTTTCCAGAAAAAACAATAAAATTCACCTCCTTTTTTATACATTTTTGTCAGACACTCATAAACATCATTGCATCCTGACAAAATGAAGTCAAATTTTAATTTCTCTCTGTCTCATCTTGTCCTTGTCTTGTTCATGTAGGTGCAGGTGACTTTTTATTTTTTTCCGTCTGATTGTAGAGCAGTTCAAACCGTCAGCGTGTAACTGAAGAAGGGTTCATACAGAGGGCAGCATTGCTCTGCCTGCTGGGACGCCTTTCATGGGGTTTGACCTTTTCACCTTTCAGTGATTATGATAAAACAATGAATGAGTTGAAGATGGAGTCAGAAAGCTCCAGTGGGAGTTACCAGATGAGAATCATTATTGAAGCTTTTATGGAAATGTAAAGTTTGGTTGTCAGTAAGGACTTTCCGTTTCATTTCTGGGGTTAATTAGAAAGGATTATGTCTGCGTGTTTGACAAACGCAGCAGCTACTCCCTCCCTACCGCCTTAACTCAGATTAATCTTCTAATTCTGTTGGAACTCGGCTTGACGGGTCCGCGGTTCCACTGGCAGCAATGCAGAGGCGACCGGGAGGTGGAGGAGCAGATAAGAGAGACAGATTTAACAGGAAGTGACTCATCAAGTTGTAATCCACTGAGTGTGATGTTTTATTTTCTAACAGGGACGGTATCCGTGTTTTGGATTGATTCAGGAGTTTATCTTTTTGCAGGTTTCAGCACCATCTGTAATATCTGTTTCCTATAAATTACAATTTGAGTAATGGTTGTTTCAAACAAAATCACAATTCCTAGAAATGCTTGGTTGGTAATTCATGCCTTTCGACTTCCTTAGGAAGAGAATAAAGTTACATTAACGTTCGTTTTTATTAGTCTGTCATCAAAATGGGAAGAACAAGAGAACATTTTCTTTAAGTAATTAATTTGTGTGTCAATTCAGTTCAATTGTATTGATCAAATTTACAATAAATGTAATATCAGATCCAGTTTACATAGATGAATCATAAAGGCAGATTTAAAACCAGGTAAATTAATTTACGATGCTGACTTTTCTCATTCATCCTGAGGATGCATGTGGCGACAGCGGAAAAGAAAAGCTCGATTTAACAGCAACAAAAATCCATAAATCGTACTAATAAATTATTAAATTGAAAAAATACTAGAAAATAAAGTCACAGAAATGTTCTGCAGGTCTCATTTTAAATTTAAATTTGAGTCAAAGCATAAAGTTTTAAGGACATGATGTTTATTGATCTGTTTATGGACCCAAAAAAGGTGGGAATTTTCAGTTTTCAGTAATCCAATAAATCTAGATATAGGTTTCCAGAACAACCAAGTTAAAACTCGCAGATTGGTGCATTTATATAAATAATTTCTTTATATTTTAATTCACCATCTGCATGTCTCTAGATGTGTGCACTTTTTTTGGTTTGTTTTGGGGTTTTTTTGTTCATTTTTGAAAGTTGATTTAGTTGGCGATTATTTCACAGCAGATGATCAGAAACCGTCTGCCTGTAGTTTATCTGGACTCCAGACGTCACCTTGGCTCATTGTTAATTGTGACGTGTGTTTTTGTGCTGCAGCATGTGGAAGGGCGTGAACGTGAACTGCACAGACAGCTCAGGATACACACCTTTACATCACGCTTCCCTCAACGGACACAGGTAGGAAAACGCTCCCTCTGCATCCAATCAACATATTGAATTTAGGAATTGTTTGGGAGCAATTATGCAGATTTCTTCCCTTATATCAACTGGGGAAGGAAAGAAATGAAAATACAGATTTACTAAAACATAGGCTACCAGTAAAAGCCTGAGAGATCTTAAGATTTATTTAGGAAGTTAAAAAAGAAAATACATGGAGCTGTTCTCAGGCTGGTTGTTGCTACTTAAAAAAAAAAAATTCCTTGACTTTTGTTGAATCTTTTAGGTTGAAAGTAAACATTCTCCTGGTGTATTTCAGCTCTCGCCTGTCACCACAATCACATGGAGTAATCTGGGAATAAATCGGCATTAAAATGAGGCGAGCAGTTCATTAAAATGCTGAGCTCCTGTGAGACGTTTTGCCCTTTTGTCTCCCTTCTGACATTTTCAATGCTAATCAAGCTTCATGTAATTTTCCTATTTTCTCTTGATGGAGGGAACAAATGCAGCCAGAATTCTGTCAAAATAAAACACATTTTAGACAGAATAACCAGACCAAATTTATGCCAGGAAGTGGGATTATTTTTGCATAACGCAGTATCCTCATCTTTACTTAAAGAAGTAGTTAAGTTAATATCAAATCAATGTTTCTGTTCTTCTAGGGAAGTGGTGCTGAAGCTGCTGCAGTCCGAGGCGTCGCCAAACTTGGCAGACAGTAAAGGCTGCTTCCCGCTGCACCTGGCCGCCTGGCGGGGCGACGTGGACATCGTCCGCATCCTCATCCACCATGGCCCGTCACATGGCCGTGTCAACCAGCAGGTAATCCCAGCAATCCGATTGTTATCCTCAGCTAACCCTGTAATCTGGAATAAACCTGCTCCTTCTTCCTTTATTTAGCACTGCTGATTTTTGAAGTTGCTGCCACTTATTCAGGAATTCGGAAATAAATCAGTCCTGAGTGTCAGATTATTAGCAAGCCATATTGTCTCAAGTTCAGTAATATCAATGGATCTGTTTGACGTTATTTAATGAAAAGCTAGAAGCCAAAATGCTGACAGTCATTAATTCATTCAGTGGAAATGTCAGCGAAAGATGTAAGTGAACAAAGATCTTGATAAAATAATAAATGAGCACAAGTTTTCACTTTTTGCAGGTTTTGTTGTGTAACACATTTTGGTGTTGGGTGTTGAACATTTTTAAAAGGAAAACTTCCGTCTATATTAAGATAAGATTCTTAGTTTTGCACATAACATTTGAGTTTTTGGAAAAAACATGAGCGGGAAACACTTTTGTGTATTTAAGTATTTTTATTGACACATGGCAGCTTATTATTTGGCAAAAATAGTTTACATTTGTATTTATTTATTTCATCATTTGTCTGACACGCCAAACGTATTTTGTGATTTTTGCGTATATAAATTTATTTTGTATTCTGGGGACTGTTTAAAGTAAAAAGGACTTACAATATCACCCTCCTCTATTTCAGGATATTCTCGTTTTACGTCTAATGGTTAGGATTGTGAATTTTTGTCTTAACCTTCAGTTTACTGTCATGGCTCCTCGTCTTGGAACAATGGCTACACTTTGGCGTTTTATCTCTGTCCTTGCTTGAGGTAAAAGCATCATCTTCTCCTCAGCCGCTGTGTTTCTGAGATCATGCGATCCGACGCCGCTGCAGGTTCTGTCATGGTGGCCTCTGTCGGAGCGAGCCCATCCCTTCCCTTTCTGACAGGCTGCTGGGAGCGTTCAGTCTGCCGCCGCTGTCATTCCTTATCTGTGAAAACGACCTTCTTCTCCTCCCTCACGCTCTTCCTGTCCGTCTTCGCTTGCAGCATATTGACGGCGGCACGGATCACTGCCGCAGGAAGTGGCAGTGAATCAGAACCGCTGTGGAAAACGCTAAATGGATGTGTGTGTGATGCCAGCGTAAAGCAGTAATGGACCCTGTAGGTTATTGGGAGGGTTATTTAGCCTAACTAATAACTCCATTTTCCTCTTGTCTCCACTAGCCAAATGCTTCTCCTCTGAGAGCTGTTGCTTTAATTGTTAGCAATGAAAAATGATGCATCTTCCCCCTGAAATTAAGAGGTTTGTCAGCAAGTGAACATGGGTAATTTTCTGTTTTTATTTACCCACTCAGTGACTGACAGAGCTGAGAGGTCGGCTGTGTACGACAGAGTAAAAGCTGCAGATGCAAAAGATATCGTACAGACATTACGACCTTCGATGCGTTCGTTCTGTGGTGTCCGCTAGTTTGGAGTAGATATTTTAGTCAAAGTGTCATTTTTAGGTTTGTCTGTGAATCATTTCTGAAGTTTTATGGATTTGACCACAAATTTGAGATTAGCATTTTTCAGATGGAAGGTGAAAAATCATATCTCCCATAATAAAACCATGTAATTGTGTGAATTGGAATTATGAAAATAAATTAGCTTAACTCATTTTTCATAAGGTTTTGAGCCAGGTTCAAAGTATCAGACTTTCTGAAATGGAAACACTTTTTTTGTTGCTACTGGTGGGAAAGACGAAGAAGACGACAGGAAGAAGCAGAAAAATGATGTTTTGTAATGACTTATCAGATGAACAAACTTTTTCATGTGTGATTTTAAATGCATTTTTTATTTAATGGAAACGCCACAGTTGTTGGTGAACATTGACGAAATTTTGCTCACATTTTGTGATTTTTGCGTATATTGTGGATTTAGTTCTGTCTTTTCCTTCCATCCATCCATGTTTTTTTGTAACATTTTAAATTTTTAGTTCATAAAATTAATGGAATAAATTGGTGATTCAATTTCATCCTGGAAAGACAACCAGCAAAACTTAAAACAGTTGCAAAAAACGCCTAAAAGGAGAATTTCCTGATAGATTCCCAAACTTTCCCTTCAGTTTATCCAAAAATAAAATTTGAAAAAATATTGTACCTAAAATAATAATGCAGTTTGTTTATGTTGCTCTTAAAACTGAAGTGTTTGTGTAGAGAAACCTTGTTGTTGCAGGTGTTGGTGTGACGTAGTTATTGTTTTCAGGTGGGAGTTAAATTGATTGGATGTTTGTGTTTGTTTAGAAGCATAAGTCCAGTATTTTCTCTCTGGCTGCCATATGTTGCCATTAGTCAGAGTGAAACTTATTTTCATTCACACCTGGAGAACTAAAAGTTGCAGAACGTCACCCGGTTCTATCAAGTCAGACACTATAGTAGTGCCAGTTTTAAATCTGATTTGATATGTTTCATTTGTCCTTATTGGTGTTTGTGAAGAGATGAATGACATCAATAAGGAGAATTACTTGGAAGTAAATGAAAAATGGTGTGTAAGTAGGTTAATCTGCAATCAATAGGTGATTATTGGAAGTTGGATGTTATGAGGGAGAGTTAGACCAGTTGCCTAATTGGTCCCAGTAGTTTCTCTTGACGGCTTGTTTTTGTTTATCGCATGTGAGTGTGAGAGGTCTGGCTGCCTGTATGGAGAATGTTATTACTATACTCTGAGTGTATGTATGTGCAGGAGAGACAGTGATTGATAGTGAAGGATTGCTTGTTTACCGAAGGCGTGCACTCGGCTTCTGGAGGCCAAGTGAATGTTTTGAAGGCTGACAACTTACTTGTTGTGATTTCTTTCTCTGATTGACTCTAAAGCAGCTGGCTTATTCAGACCTGGACTTCGATATGTTGATTTTTTTTTGTCTTTTTCTTATTTGTTTTGGAGTGAAGTCACATCTTCATCAAGGAAATTACTTAAAGTTGGTGTGGGAATCCGCCATCCTTCTATTTCATTGATATTGTTGAATTATTAATGCTTTAAATGAATAAATGTAATACATTTTTCAAATGTATTGATTTTGCTAGCTGTTTTGCTGCTGTGAGAGGATATAATCTTTAGAATAGAGAACATTGTCCTTACATTAGCCGTTAGCATGATTAGCCATTGTAGAATAACTAAAGCAGTAATGTTTGTGTTTATTTCCCAAATGTATAGATTGTTACCTTTACTGTGAGATTTCCAAAAGCGTCATAACAGAGGATGAAAGCTGCAAAGAACAAAAGAGCGTCTGCTTCACCTTCCTGTTATCTGCTGAGCATCTTGCGCTCTCCTCATACTTAAATGCCTGAATGAATTCAGATGGAAATAAAATGCAGCTTTTACAGCAGATATATTCCAGCAATGTTATGTTTTCCATCAGCAGAAGGAATTAAGTTACGTTGTTTTGCTTTCCTCCTCCTTTCTTCACTCTCCTAAAGAAGACATCAGCAGCCTGCTAAAGAGCAGCACGCCTTTCACCAGTAAGGCCTACTGGGAACCATGTGAACCAAGCCAGAGGTCACAGACTCATGAGGTCATTTGCCTTTCATAGCTTTCCTCCCAATTTATTTCTGTGCAAATACTCGTATGCATTCACCTTACATTCCTGGTAACTCGACGCTCCATGTTGCTACGACACAGCAAAAATGAAACCATCTGTTTCCCAACGATCAACATGTGAACTCTCTGAGAACACATGCTACTGCTGGGAGAATCCGCTCTGGGAAAGGCCTCCGCCACGCCGACGGCTGCCAAAACACACAGTCACACCGAGCCGTTGGACGCTTTCTTCTGAGTAATCTGTTTAAGGAAAAAGAGGCGGCAGCCATATGGTTTCCAGAGCCCGGCTCGGACTTATTAAAGTTCAGCTAACGAGGACCGGCTCATCTCCGTGTGATCCCAAACAAATTACCACCCTAAGTGATTATTGCAAGATGCGAGCAGATTGTGTGTGTGTGAGGGCGTTTAATTGAGGTGTTATGTAGGAACACTAATAAAAAAAAAAGTGGTTGGATTTACTTTGCAGTTGTGTAATTAAAACCAGAGCTGTGTTTAACTCTGAAGGAAGGTCAGAGTTAAAGGAAAACAATTGAAGATTTTGATACAATTCTTCTGTTGTCTCACTTGTTTTCTAACCTAATCAGGTAATTTTTAAGAAACTTTTCCCATAGAAATTATAAATAGTTTAAGGTTTATGAAAGGAAAATTTCTTAAAAAGCAGTTTGCATTAATTTGTATGTTAAGCAGATGATTTCTCAACGCTCCACATTTCTTTTGGCATCTCTGCAGTTAATCCATCCAGTTGGACACCCATTTTTGTATAATCTCTCTACATCCAATAGAGTGCATGCTCTTCCTTTCTCAGTTTTTAATTTGGATTATCTTGGATTTAAGTCTGAAATTCCAATTTGTTTTATCAGAAACAATTAGGAAGAGTAAAATCTCTGAAATACTTTATTCATCTTTTATTTAGTTTAATTAATTTTGATTTACAGCTCTCTTTTTAAAACAAAACTGGAGCTAATTAATACATCAGATGAGTCGGCACTCATCTGATGTACTGTGGTGACGGACTCTGACCTGACCCTTCATAAACACTTAAAAATAATTACAAAGTCAGCCTTCTATCACCTGAAAAACATTCAGAATTAATGGAATAATGTCCCAGCAAGAACTACAGAAACTTATCCATTCATCAGAGAATACTTTTAGTTTATGGCTTAGCACCAAAATATACTAATGATCTGTTGATGTTGTAGCTTCCAGACACTCAGATCGTCTGGTTTTGGTTTACTTTACATCCTCAGACTCAGAACCAAATATGGAGCAGCAGCATTCAGTTTTTAGCTCTTTTACTCTGAAATAAACGTCCAGAAAAAACCCCAAACTGCTGAAACATTGCTGAAGGCTAAAAAACATATTAAAGTGTAGTCTAGTTTTCAGCCTATCGTTGTTTCCCTTTACTTTACAACTTAATTTATTTGCTTGCTTTTTGTTTTTTTCTTTGCCTTAGAAAAAAAGGCAAAGAAAACAGGTGTTTTGTGGATAGTCAAAGTACTTTAGTGTAAAATAAATAGTGCTTATTACTAGAATAAATGATCATTAGAGGTGCTGTGTTGTGATAAACTGGTAATGTCTTACAAGCTTACAACTCTTATGAACTTCAGCCTGTTAATCACTGCAGATTTTCAGCTTCTTTTTCTCACATTTTGCCATTTTAATCTAAAGATGTATTAAGAGGCAATAGAGATTGAAGTAATTATCCTCATTTCTCTCATCCTCTTATTCTACAACTCGTTTCTCTGAGCTGCCAGGATTATGGGATGAAGCGACAGAGCCGGAGCTCATCCTGCACATCAATCCATCAGGCGTTACTGCAGAAAACGTTCAAACAACTCTGCTCCACCTGCTCTGGTTACAAATGTAGCTGCTGCAGCACAGATTTTTTATTTTATTTTGTGGAACAAATTAAAGAGAAGACAGAAAGTTATTTATCTGTTCTGGTCCAGTCAAGGTTCTGACACATTTTTGAAAGTTTGCAGAAGTTTTAAATCTGTTTGTCCTTTCTTCTGCCTGTCCATGTATAACTAAATAGAAGCTACTTCAGGAGTGTCCAAAGTGTGGCCCGGGGGCCATTTGCGGCCCCGGGAATGCTTTTGAGAGGCCCACTACCACAATTCAATAATAATAATTTGTGCAAGCGCTTGGAGCATGAAGACTTTTTATTTTTAATTAAGACAAAACTTTTACAGACAAATCAAAATCTTACAATGAAAAATGTTAACAACTCACAGTATTCAGTAACCAGGCTTTTGTCCTTGAATTTGTTTAAATAAAAGTAACATAAATCTTATTTTTGTTCTACAACTAGATAAATAAATTGCACACAAGATGTTTCAAAAACCTGCAAAACTCTGTTAACATTTTGGATATAGGATAATTTACACACCCTTTGCAATTAAAAAACATGACTTCTTTACTTGTTTAATGTATTGGAGCTTAGTTTGTTGTTGAGTAGGAGAAAAAAAATAAATCACAGTCTCTTGTTTTTCCTTTTTTGTGTCTTAGTGTCAAAACAAATTTGGCATTCCTGATTCACTTGGCTGTTTAGTCCAGTTTTGTTTGTCCTAGCCAAATGTAACCACAACAAAAGTCAGCTATTTGTTTGGTTGCTTGTTGACAGGATTCCTGTTCAGCAGCCAATGTGCAACAATGAACCAAGTGCTGATGATATTGAGAGGCTGTCAAGCTGCGTGTAATGGAAATTTATAACCCACTCTGAGATCACAGAGGGAGGATTTCTCTGTTTCCACTCCTCTTCTGCTTCATCTCATGGTCCGAGTCTGAGCTCATCTCTTTGCCACTCTCCTTTCTGTCGAGGAAATCACATTTTTCCAATCTGAAGCGGCGTGTGTGAGACACAGCAGATCAGACCGCTACGTTTTATTGTCCATTTAAGGCTGCAGGGACAAATGGGACAGTGGCAGAACCAACAATAACTTCGGTTTTTGTGCCAGTGGTTCCTAGATCACATTTGTCATCCAGTCTTTCTTAGTTTCTGGGTTGTTTTTATTCTTTTTAGAGCAGATATTTATTAATATTAGTGACTTTCAGATAACCATTTGAAGGAGTGTTTACTTTCTTCACACAGCACAGAATGTAAATTAAAATATATTGTAGATCAGAATGAATAGTAAATAAAAAGTAATTTACAGTAATATAGAGAAAGTAAATTCTCAAATGTACTTAAGAGGAACATTATCTAAACAACACGTGGTTCATCGGTTCAGATTTAGAAAAGCAGTGTCTGATTTGCTTCTGTAGCTACATGTATGCTATACTTTTTAATTTTCTTGGGGTCGGTCATTTATTTATTTCGTTGTGACCTCAGGGAATACCAACAACGCTGCTGTTGGAGGCTCTCTGGAGACTGAGGACATGGTCAGACATTCTCAGTCAGTCCATGACCTTTAAAATGCCCAGAGAGACTCTTCTTAAAATATGCAGCTAGAGAAATAAAAAGGAAAATCTTAAATGTTAAGCTATAATAAGTTGCTGATTTCAGTTTATAAAAGTTGTACTTCTTGTGTTGGATTATTATTTGAACACAGTTAAATGTTTGAGATGTTTTAAAATCAAAATAATTGTGTCCTGCAGATCTGAAGACAATTCTTTATCCTAAATGTTTTTCTTTAGGAGGCTCCAAATAATCTAACATTGTTCAAAAACGTTCTTGGAAACTGAGTCAGGTGTTCCTAAATGAGTTTGAAAAGTGCCTCCACTGTATTTTTTCTCTGTTTTGAAGAATGATTTATAATCTGTGCTGTTCTCCTGCTCCTTTAATCCTAAAACTGTCCATCTGATACTCTGACCTTTTCTTCCTCACCCCTGAATCGGCTCCCATAATTCCTGCAGCCATCAAAGCCAATCGTCCAACGTTTTCCTTCTGTTCTGCAGAACCATGAGAGGGAGACGCCGCTCCACTGTGCGGCTCAGTACGGACACACCGACGTGGTTTCAGTTCTTCTTCAGGAGCTGACCGATCCAACGATGAGAAACAACCGGCAGGAAACTCCTCTGGACCTGGCTGCACTTTATGGACGCCTGCAGGTCACTGAGAATAAAATTTATGTGTTGTACTAAAAAAATACTGCCTTCTGACGGACTACAAAACAATATAAACACATTCATGTATTCAGGCGACGTGCAGAGATAGTTTATCTCCATGGATAGTTGTTTGAATTTGTCCTAAAAGTAGCATGTTTCATATGTCTCCTAGTGTGTTTTTATGTATTATTTCCGGTATCAATGTAAAGATGGCCGTATACAAATGAAGTACAGAAGGCTTTAGATGTTTAGATATTTGATATTAGCATAACCAGCCGCTGCTCTCAACAGAATTACAATTTATTCACATTATTTTGTTGATTTATTGAATCGTGTTTTAGTCTTTTGCTGTGCTGAGATTTTATTGGCTTTTTATAACGTAACCTGCTTTGTGCTCAAAATCTGTTCCACAAAGAGACAAACTAAAGAGAGAGCAGCTGAAACACCAGAAGTTAAATTTGATGCCGTTCAATTACGTTTCATTTTTTATCTCATGCAATTAAATGGATACCTATTGAAATACGTTACTGGGCTAATTGACAAGTCAATTCAAAACAGAGAGCAAATATGCTATCGTTAGCTTACTTCTTTAGCAAGCTACTCCATTTGAAGTCATTTTAACTGGAAAAATATTGATTTAAATGTCTTTAAAATCTTAATACTGTCCTTTAAAAGCTTCTGTTTGTCCCTATATGATACAGATGGGATGTAACTTAATTTATTGGTTCTTAAAGGCATCAAATTGATCAAATTTGTAACATCGCTAATTGTGAAATGCGTGGTTGATGTACATTATATTAATTTATTTCAGTAATTAGGTTTACTAAGTTAAAAATATAATGCTGATAAATTACACAAATTAAATTTTCAAGCCTTTAGTTCAGTTAATTCTGATAATTTTCTACTTGTAGCCGATGAACACGCATTTAATTACTTTAATTAATCAGAATGTCACATTAGACTAATAAAAAATTTGTTTTTCATACCGAAATCTGGGTTTAATTAAAAATATGCTAACCTGCTGCTGGTTTACACCACAAACACACCACATTAGTTCAGTTTTGTGAAAAATGTGACAAACCACACACTGAAACACTCAGATTTCTGCTACAAATGTCTGCTGACGTTCCGACTCAGTCACACATTCTGCACGCTAAGGCAGCTGTAATTGCAGTCAAGCCACACAGGTTTATCTGACTGCAGATGAATAATTTATGAAAGTAACAGTCTCTTTCTGCATTATAACGAAGGAAGCTCTGTGTGGTGGAAGTTTACTGCCAAAGGAAAATGTAACTTACACTGGAGGAAAGTTTGAGACTCACTCTAGAAAACAGGAAAGATGTAAATGAAGGTAAACCTGAGCAGAAATATAAAATAAGGTTCTTCTAAATGTATTAGAATATCACCCGATTATTATTATTATTATTGTCAGATTAATTGATGTTTTTTATAACTTCTAATAATGACAAGAATTACAGATGTTAATTGTTGTGACTCAACACTCTTTTATATCGGATGATTAAGGAGGTTTTTGAGATCCATGAGGAAATGTGTCATCATTTCCCCGGTGTTTTGCTGTGTGTTTGTGGACAGGTGGTGCGCATGCTGGTGAGCGCTCACCCAAACCTGATGACGAGTCACACCCGCCTCCACACGGCGCTTCACCTGGCGGCACGTAACGGACACCACAGCACCGTCCAGACCCTGCTGGAGGCCGGCATGGACGTCAACTGTGTGGTGAGTTTTTAATATTCTTGTGCTTATTAAAGGATTGGCATTGCAAGTCAGCTCAGGCTATTTATGATAATAAAAGAAAAACAATTAAAAATGTTCTAGAGACTGTTGGGATGAGCTGTGATTATGGCAACTTTTTCATCACTTGCCTTAAATGTTTTGACCTTTTTAACAATATCTTTATTGAGTTTTTGCATATATAAAACATAGAAAATATACATTCAAACATTGAACACCCTAACACTCACAATTAACACTCAGTTCCATAATAAAAAAGAAAATGAACAAAAAAAATGCAAATGCATAAAGGTAAACAGATAAATAAATAAAAAATTTAATCATTCAACTCTTTTATTAAAAATATTATAAATATGAATTAATATTAAGCTTTTTAGGTGATATTCTATTTTAAAGTAGCTGTTTTTTAAGTTTATTCATGTTTCGATCACAATTATTTAAGCACCTTTACCATTAAAATTAAGAATGTGATGACTTTAAGTTAAATTTTTTCAAAATATACTGAAATCATCCTAATAGCAGCCAAAGACACTAGTAAAATGCTGTTAGTTAACATATGAGAAGTTTTACAAATGTAGGCGTGAAAGTGGATCCTCTCTGTGTTTTGGGAAAAAGTTGTTTTATCAGCCGAGGTGTTATGAGACAGTAAGCCTTGGTTTTGTTTTTGTTACATCCCAGCTGGATTTCTGTAATAAACTGTGGGGGGCCAATTTCTCCAACTCTGGCCTCAATCCACCGACTGCCAGTTTATTTCAAGACTCGGCTTAAACTTCTTTGATTTATTGGAAAGTTTCTTAACTCCTCCGCTCCATTTGATCTCCCTGAACTGTGATCCGTTTGCACACCGTTTCGATCTCTCTGGTCAGCAGATCAGCAGAATCCCAAAGCGGCGCTGTTTTAAAAAAAGAAAAAGTTAAATGCTTCTCCTCGGCAGGTCAGACCGTCGCTCTCGCTAACTGTACTTAAAGCTTCTTCAAACACAGACAATTGCTGTTTCTAAAAACGGCATAAAATGTTTTTTTTTTGTTGTCTCACTTTTACAAATTCAAATCTCCTGAAATCTACAAGCTGTAACTAAATGGTCAAAAAAACAAAAAACAATTATTGTCACATTTATATATGCTTTTTTTAATTTAGCAGAAAGATTTAACTGTGACATTTTGTTAAAATAATGTAATCCACCATAAAAATTGAATGTGTCTATAAGGACATTTACCTGGATAAACCCTTTAAAATCCTCTCTGTGCTGCATTTCAGTAATTGAAGAGACGAGAAGCTGCAGACATTTGTGTTTCATGAATGGCTTAAGAAGCTGGCAGATTAGCAGTCGCGGCGGGTTCCTTCATTTAAACTCCACGTTTTTTCCCTGAGTGTGTATCAGAGAGCCATGTACACTGAATGTGCCTCTCATGGTGTGGTGGTTTGAAATGAATTATTGATTGTGAGGAAATGAAGAGAGAGAACAAGGTGTTCCTGAAGGGTCCTCATAGTTCATGGTCTCTTTTCTCTTCATGCATTCATAGGGATTAGATGTATGTACTGGATGCAAGGCTTAGTTACTGACAGTTCTCTGCTGAATTGGTTAAACGAGCATTACAAATTGGTTAATTTTGTTCAATTTAGCTTAGAAAAAGTGGCTACAATCACTGTTAGAATGAAAGTGACTTACTGATTCGAGTGTTAACCCATCCTTAAACTTCACAGCTTTTCTTGGAGTATAGACAAAAAAAGTTAATCAGGATAATAGTCTTTCGCAAATCAAAGCATTAAAATCTGTGAACAAAAGTGGTGAAAGAAGCAATTGAATTGTATTTATTCAATTTAATAACAAAAGTCAGAATTATATGCTGGTAAAAATGGTGGATTTTCTTCTTTCAAACTTTGGATTATTTCTCACCCAGTGTGCTTCTGTTCGTTGATCATAAAGATTTGAAAGAAGGAGAAAAAAAAAATACTTCAAGGGATTTATTGCTCAGAGTATGAAAAATTCAGGGAGCTGCTGAGTCTGAAGCAACATAAACAAGGAGATGTAAAAGTTTTCTCACCAAACTTGAGACGCTTAAGAGATGTAACAAAGCTTTGAACTTATTATTGAACTTGTTTAAGCTCCATCTTTCTGCTGTTTACAAGAAACACACATCAGATAATCTCAAGGCACTTTACAATAAGCTAAGTTGAAGGAATCCCAGCCAGTCATCAGCTTGTATTACAGCGTCTTTACTGAGCAGACCTGCTAAAATGAAGTAATTAATTTTAGTTTTTATGTGCAGATCCTTGAATCAGTGACATTGCAGACATTACTGCCTTCTTCAGTCCTTTTATGTGTGTTCAGACCCACTCTGATGTGGAGAGCCGGGGTGTTTCTCAGCCTCAGGCTCCATGCGCCTGGTGAAGATGAGCACAAAGGTCTTTGATATGTCATCTCCTCTGCAGGACTCACTGCTGCTAGTTTATCAAGCTTGTTTATTTTGCACCCTGCATTTTTGACTATTTTTCTTTTTTTTATTATCAGAAATTCATACAAACCTTACTCTTGTGCTTTTAAAGTTTAGCCAGAAATAGGTGCAACAAGTTTTGTTCAAAACAACAGATAAACGTGTGCACCAGAAAATCATCTGTGTTGGATCTTAATTTTTTTCCGGTCGTAAGTTACTCACTAACTCCATTTACTGATGTATTTCTTAAAGTGAAGTCTTAAATTATTACATCTAGTAGTAGTGCAAAATTAAGAGTCTCTTCCATTGGTTTCTTTTTGTTTTTCTTCAAATTTATTTAAATCAGAAATAATGGAAAATAAAACGATGTAACTGAAACTACATTATCTACAGTTTATACAGGTATCTTTTGAAATCTTAGGAAAGGATCAACAGGAACAGATCAGAACTAAGAAAAATTATTGGTTATTCTATCAGACATATTATCAATTGATATTAATCATGTGTCGACAGCGATATATGTTGTTTTTGGTTTATTGTCCAAAAACTGACTGACAGCCTGTGTTTTAAAAATGAACAAGTATCAACTGGGGTTGTCATAAATTGTCTCTAGCTGACAAGAAGTTGTACATGTGAGTGGTAGTACAGAGCTGTGTGTAGGTGTGAGTGTGAATGAATAATTTACACATGCAGCAGTGTTTCTTTTTCTCACTTCCTTCTGTTTCCATTTTAATGAAGGTAATTCCCCGTAGAGGATAATTCTACTACCTGCATGTTGGGTAGGAAGCCAACGCAGGGTAAAAGCAGTAGATTTGAACCAGGATGTCGACAAAACAGCGAGTGCTTTCTTTATATACTCAGAAAGTGTGATGGTAAAGCGTTGTGCTTTTGATCAGCTGCGAGTGTTACGTAAAGCCGTGTTAATTATGTAGAGAGACTCAAATGACTCCTCTGTTGACATGCTGTAAGTGTTTACTCTGTCATCTCATATCAGCACAGCCAACACATCAGACTGCCCTCCACTTTTCAATTGCAGGAAACTCCTCGAGAATCAGAATCGCCTTTTTGCTTCCTCATGACATCACGGTATGATCGCCAGGGGAAACGGGGCAGGAAGTGGTGTGGGAAGTTGAAAAGGGAAGGTCAAATGTGTCAGAATAAGGGGTGGCTCCCTTCCTGTGCCATTGCCTCCTCTCCTGCATGGGCTTTAAAAACCTGGATGATTTTCTTTTTGGAATTAACCAGCGAAGTCATTCTTGAACCTGCTGCAGGCTCTTACATTTTTTCGCAATCGGTTTCCTTTCCCGTGCATCATTGGTGATGTTTCAGGAGAAACGGTTGGGTCACACACAGTAAGTCTGATCTGCCGCAGTGCTGTGCTCAGGGTGCAGGCCTGGCTGCTGTCCAGATGATTTGTCTTCATTAAAGCTGGGAGTTTGGTTTACGACAGTGTTTTCATCCATGCTGACAGGAAACCAACCATGAAGGATGCAACGTATTTAGCTGTTTGGCTGCATTTACGCCTTGTTGTTTCTGTATTAATGTGTGCATCTTTGTGCCCCACGTGGGCATTACTTCTTGTGGCGATGGTTGATATGAGATGCAGAAATCAAACTTTTACAACATTTTGTCACTAAAAAACACCCTACCCCTGCAAACCAGGTTTCTTCTGGAGATACATAACATGTAATTGTGATTAAAAATAGTAAGATTTTGACTTTTTTTGTAATTTTTCCAAAAGACCTCATTTAAATCCACTTGTAAGGTCATAAATAAGCAGTTATTAGATGGAGGTATTAATTTTGGATGGAAATAAAGTCACTTAATAAGAAAGACATTAATGCTGAGTCATCACTACTTTGTGTTATTTTTGTGCTGCAAAAATAACACAAAAAGATGCTAGACAAGGGAGCTTTGGAGGTCTTTGTCATCCCTCTCTTATTGTACCTGAGGGTAAGATGAAGTTTTGAAATAGTTCCAGATAGTCTGTCAATGTTCATTAGATAGTATTTTAAAATGTTTTAATTATTGCTCTGATGAATAACTAGAATATGTTAAAGTCAGTCTGGAGAACAAAATGGAAAATTGAAACAAAAGTAAAAGGAAACAAAACAAAACGAGGAAAATGTAAAACATAGTCAATAACAACCAGCATCGTCATCACAGAGTTTTTTTATGGGCCGTTAATGACTTTGTAAAAAAAAAGAGAAAGATTTGCCCCCATGTTCTTCACAGTAGCACTGATAGATTTTTTTCATTGTGTGAAATTATTAGAGCAGGTTTTTCTCTGCAGCTTAATGAATTTCATTAAAGAATTTCAAACCTTCTTTGGCCAAAAATATCCCAAATTTGGTGTTAAAATGTGACTCCTGTCACTGAAATCTGTGCTAATAAGCAGAAAAAACCCCATTAATTAATGTTCCAAGCACCTCCGCAAACTCAAGAATTGGCTCAACTCTGCAGCTTTTTCTGAGAAGGAAACAGTTTGGTCCTTTATCTGCCTCTCTGTGCTGATTTCATTGTGTTGCATCACACCTGTAATATTATTAGCACCGAAGGAAGATACTATAGAATGAGTGAAAATGGGACGTTTCCACATACACAAAAAATTATTGCATGACTTTTAATCTTTTGACCTGGGAGAGAGATTAATATTTATATCAGATCATAATGATGAATTTGATCTGTTTTAATTGCTGCTGTCTTCTGCGATGTTGGTTGTGCTGTCAGTCTACCTCCGGTCTATTTCTGTCTCCGATTTCAGTTGTAAAAGTTCTTGAATATTAATACATGCGTGTTCTCTCCGTTTCTCGCAGACGGAGAATGGGAGTGCCCTTCATGAAGCTGCCCTTTTTGGAAAGATGGATGTGGTTCGCCTTTTGCTTGACTCAGGTTGGTCTATAAATATGCTGCAATAAAACAAGTGCTGTGCTTTTTATAGGCCTGCGCTCCCCTTGTTTTTATCGTAACCTGCAGTCAAATGCTCCACGTGTTTAGTTATTTATGTAGATGCAAGTGTTCAGTTTTTTCCCTCTGATGAATCAAAGTTAAACAACTTGAAATGCTTTAGTTTTGGCTTTGATAAATGAAATAATTGACACAAAATTGTATGAAAATGAATTTGTAACCTGGCACTACTTTCTGGACATTGTTGTCCTTTGGTTGCGCTGCCATCTTCCCTGCAGCTCCCTGTTTCCTGCAGGACTTCCTCCGGTGGCCATGCTCCTTCTGGTCAGGATTACAGTACAGCAACATCCTGGATTGTTGCAAACTGTGTTGTCTTAAATCATTGGAGTTTCTATCTGAAGCCTTGAACTTATTGTATGTTGTTTTGCTAAAATAGGCATAAAACCTGACCAAAATTCACATTTTGTCATCCACAGACTTCCTTTGTGTGTAACACTGGGACTGAACACAAAGCAGTGCCTAATTTATGAAGTAGATGAAAATGCAAGATGGCTTGAATGAAAATATAAATAATTTGTTGTTTCTTTTTATGTATTCACTTTTGTTGTTACCGTTGCATTTTTCAGACTCATGGGCCATTTATATACGAAAATTCTACTTCCAAAATTATCTTTTTGTTAAGTTCCTTGTTGATCTTGAAAACATCAAGTCAAAAAATAGGTTTGCGAAAACCTCTCTATGTATAAAAGATGAAAAAAATGCAAACACTACTTTCAGAAATTTAGCAGTTAAAAAATTGTGGACAATTAGAATTTCCTTCTGCTTCATTGAGTTGTTTGTCTCCCACATAAAATCCAAATAATATTTTATGTTATTTATGTTATGAATGGATTACATAATTTTGAAACATTTATCAATGAAAAAATGTTTCAGTTACAAGATTTACTTGAAGAAGCAAATGTTAGAAAGAGCAACAAGAAAGAAATTAATAGATTATGACAATCACATCTCAGTTCATCATTTCGACTTTCAGTCATCATTCCAGTCGTATAGAGTGAATTATTCAGTCAATAATGTGGAAAATTCAATAAATGCTAACATGCACAGTTATTCATCTGCACAAATTAATGGTATTTTGATTTTTTGCAATCTCTTAGATTGTGATGGTTGTTTACTCCATAATTTTATGGTAACTTGTTACTTCAAAATCAAGTTTTTTGTATTACAATTAACAAGTTAAAAATATTTGTACCTCTAAAAACATTCAATCCACCAGTTTTTGATTCGTCTCGATTGATTAACTTCTAATGCTGCGTGAACTTCTGTGAAACATTGTTTTAATTTTTCGCTTTTATATAACTATTATTTTGCGTGTGAATTTCAGGAATAGACGCCGATTTGACAGACAGTCAGGGGAGAACAGCGCTGGAGATTCTCAGAGATCACCCAGCGCCTAAATCTCAGCAGATAACCGCTCTAATTCAAGGTGAGAGACACAGACTGTCAGAGAGAACCTGAGAATTTGGGGTTGTTGCCGTTGCACAAATAAAAAAAGATAACAGCTTCCAGATTTAAGTGGAGAGTTTTGGTGTTTTCATTTTTCCACACCTGACTGCACAGTGATTCGTGTTTGCTCAGAGATTAGTGGCTGCTGTTTGGGTTTTATTGGCTGTATGTGATAGTTGAGATTGAATTTGTTGAACGGTGTGGACATATTGAGCCACAGAGCAGCATATTGGCACATATGACATTGTGACCTTTGGAACAGGTTGTTGTCTAACTGAGAAATCTCATTTGTTGAGAAACTTTGTCTTCCCTCTGGGAAACAGTGCAAGTTGCTCTGATAGCAAAAACAATATAGGTTGCCGCTGTGTTCTTTCTCATTATCTTTTTAACATTTTATTCAATTCACTGGACTTAAATCATTAGCTAACCAGGTCATAGATTTGTCCTTTGGACTTTAAGAAATAACAACTTTTTTTGCAGATTTTTCTTTCTTCAACCATGCATTAAAATTCCAGTTTTTGCTCTCGTACATGTTTTGTGTTTAACCAGTGATTACCAGTGTGAATTTCCTCCGCAGTCCCCAAGGATCCAAAAATTACATCTTCTAAACGCGGTGCACATTAAAACGCTGTAATCCTGTGGCTTGGAGGCTCTCTCTGTCTGTCATCGTGGCAGCTATGGCGTGTATAACGGGCACGTAGTTATCGTTAATTTAAAGCAACAGAGATAAAGGCGCACAGAAACCAAGGAGCAGTTGGATGAAGAGCATTTGCGAGAGCCAAAGTGAACCACAAATGAGGTTTAATTAGGAGGCGAAAAAAAAAAAAGAGAAGCTGAGACTCGGGAATGTGTCGAGCTGGCGACAAAACTGATAGTTAAGCCGAAAAACACAACGAAATGGAAAGAAGACCATAATTTGAAGTTAAAAGTACAAAAATCATGGATGGAGAAGTAACAAATTAGCAAAATATTTGCCCTGATCTCATCTGTTCCAGTTAGTTCCTTAATAAGGATTTGGGTTTTTTGTTGGTGGATGAAATTATAAACGGTTCCAAATATTCGACCGATTTGACTCGGTATTTTCAAGTGTCTGCAAGACAGATGTAGGTGAAGAAAGTGTTTATTTTTCAGCATCACAGTGACATGAGTGTGTAAGATGTCTGTCCACTGTGTGTTGAGGTGTCTAGAGGTGTGAAACTGATGCTCTGTCCCAAATGGGAAACATAGTTTCACAAGCAGTCTGAATGCGATGACACAAACGCAGGAATAATGTTTTCTGGATTTGCTCGGGAGCCGATGCCTGGTATCTTACACATGTTCCTTAAATGGAAGAAACGGTAAGGAGAAGTAAATCTGATGTGTGAGTCAAATAATAGTTGCTGGGCGAAAATAAACTACTTAGAATGCGTGTATATGGGAAACCACTCAGTGATCCAAGATAAACACTTGGTGATGATGGAGAGTTTAAAAGATAAATACAACTGAATGTCATCTGCATAGATGTGACAGGCATTATGTAATAAAGACTGAATATTTTCAACTATTGGAAGAAAATAATGTGTCTAGAATTGACCCTTGTGGAACACCACAGATTAGAACTTGATGCAGGATCTTCTATCAGATGTATAGCTGCTAGCGCTACCGGCGTCACACAGCAGTTAATTGAATGCTTATGGATCTATATTAAATGAGTCTGAATGCTAATATTGAATGAAAATGACAACTTTAAAAATTTTTAAAAAATTCAATTTAAATGTACAGCATACAAGTCAAATTAAAGGTGGAACTGGTTTTAAAGTTTTTGCATGACCAAAACCTGCCTCAAAATGTTCATTTTAAACAGTTTATCAGCATAAAGCTGAAATACTGTATATTTTAAGATGCATTTAGTATTCAATTAATAATACCTACAAGAATAAAGAGATATTTAAATAGACTGGTCTGCTGTGAGCATCTTTACTTAATTGGACTTTGCATATTTATCACAGTAAAGGAAAAATATCCTGCTGCTTCATTATAAATAATCCTGCATTAACATGGACAAAGTCTTTGTATATATGCTTTGGAAGGGATTACAGCATTCGAAACGTAAAAATTCACGCCGTAGTAGATGTCTGTCACAAACTCTTTCTATCCAAATCCAATCTCACCAAGCCAGAAGTGGAAAGATGTTTGGGCATCAGCATGAACGGGGGAGGCTGGCCGTGTTTGCGTATGATAGGAAGGAAGAAAGGCGAAAAGGGCGCACAGCTGCGGCTGGGTGAAAGGATCAGCTGCGAGCCATTTCCTGTTGGAGAGGAGATGGAGAAGGACACACACATGCAGAGAGCTTGTAGCTGCTGAGACTCGGTTTTCTGGCACATTGTTAGGAATGATTCTCACTTGACTTACTGGACGCCTCCTGCTGCACGCAAAAACAAAAAAAAATAAACCAACTGGTTGTTGTTCTGCCTGATTTCTGCAGTTTGTGGAGAATCTGTAGAAAATACAAAATAAATATGTGCCTTATTTTCAGTCTTTTCTGTTAGATTCATAATTAAATGCCAAAATTGGGGATTATAAACAATAACTCAATTAATTGCATGATAAATTAAAGCAAGCTCGATAATTTCCATTTTCATGATTTATAGTTTTTCTCTTTCTACAAAAACTGGTCTTCAGTTTGATTCATTGGTCTCATCTAGCCTTTTTGTTTAGAACGACTTCATAATTAATTTTATTTGGTGTTTCGGTTACTTTGTTGATTTTGGATATTTAAAATGTCTTCCAGTTACTGTGTTAAATGTTCATTAGAATTTAAAGTTCATTGATCTTGGACAATGCTACGATGTTGCAATAATGTTGGAGCTTTATCACAATAAACATAATTATTTATTGCAATAACTTCTGGGACAATTTATCGTTGATCCTGCTTCGTCTCCTTCTCACTCACTGGAGTTTCTTTCCCCTGTGTTGCTCTATAATCAGCAGACAGCTCTGCCAGCAGAAGCTGTGAAGTGATTTTGTGGCAAAGGAGAAGGTGTGAATTGAATGCAGCTCAAGCTGTTTTCCATGCTGCTGATTGCTCTACTTTATTGATCCAGGAAAAGTAACTGAAGTGGGATCTCCGACCCAGTCTGGCTGGTACCGTTTTGTCCTTTCACTCATTGACCGTCCATGTCTGTGTAGAGTACATGATGGACGACATGGAGAGACAGAGTATTTTGGAAGAGCCGGTCCGGAAGTGTCCCGTTCCTGCACCTCGGACCTCAATCCCCTCGCCTGCTGCCTCGCCGTCCCTCCGACATAAAAGTGAGTTGGAAGATGGCAGATTTTTCTGTGTTTTCCTGAAAAGTGGTTTTGAGAAATTGGCTGCTAAGTTACAGGAAGTAATGGATATACCAATTACTTCCTTTAATCTACTTAAAATAAAATTAATAAAGTGCTCGAGTTTTGTTGAAAGTTTTTCTCTACAGAATAAATGTACTTGAATAAAAATTTTTTATGTAGATTTATGCTGCTGCAATAAAACACATCTAAGGCTGTGAACAGAACTATGAAGGCTTCAGGTGAATGTTTAAATCCACTACAATATTATACGTGTTTAAAATCCAAATACTCAGGATTTGTAACTTCAAGTAATTTTGCAACAGCAAGGAGAACAGCGGTGAGCGCCACACAATGGTTTTAACAATTGGTTAGCCCTCCTAACGTTTCTGCTTGATCCTTCAATCAGAGGTTAAAGTAAATACTGACACTGAAGAGGTCTCTGGATACATGCATAATAATACTCCAGTAAAACCAGTCTGTATTTACATAAATTGATCACAATGCATTTGTTGCATTCGGTTTAGTTCATGAATTATTGTTCAGGACTATATTCCAGATAGAAACTAATGAATGTCTGATTATCATAAAGACAGTCAGGTTGCTAAATATTCAAAGTATGTGTTTTTTCATTATTCTGTCGTAAAAATCAGGTCTTCCACAGGGGAACAATTGCTGTATATCTGTGTAGCCAGGTGTTAAACTGGTCCAACGCTGCCCCCTTTGTTAGAAATATGGCATAACAATTACATTTCTTCAAGTTACATCTCCTGTTCTATTAACTATTTAAAGAGTCGATTGTCATTGGCCAGAAAACAGATAAAATAGGTCTAGTCTTTTATTTTTGCTAAACTCACTCTCTCCCTCCACAGATGATGCCGTGACGAGCGAACTGTCCAAACTGCTCCATGACATCAAGAAGTGCCGGGACCAGGACTACTCCTTCGAGGAGCTTTGCCACACCATCTCGTCCCACTCCATGGACAGCTTCGGCAGCGGGCGGCTGTCTGACGAGGAGCGCCCCGACAGACCGAACGGCACCTTGACTCGAGTCAACAAGGTACGTTTTTAAATTAAATTAGCACCTAGTGTGTCGTATTTCAGGGTGAAATCGAAATGATTTTTGTTGATATTGATAAATAGACACAAACTAATACATGGATAAATGTTCCTGAGTGACACTTTTGTTTCTAGTTGGATTATGTGAGCATTGTTTTAGACAAAATTGATAAAGCTGATTTTTATCTCTGTTACATATCTGACTTTTAAGGATAATATTTAGATTTTCACTGAGCACAAGATCTTACCAGTTTGTTTGGAATCATTGTCCTGTTGCACAATTTCCTCAAACTTTCAGCCATTGACTATAATTTTGATCCTTTTTGAATTAGAACAAATCCACAATAAATGCAAGATTGTTTAAACTTTAGTCAGAAAAATCTCTGATGTTATCGTTATTTAATAATTTTACTCTGCAAGAATGGTTGAAATAAACCCTTTAATGCCCAATATCAGCATGAAAACAGCCGTGGAGAATGCATATAAAGTATGAGTACGAGTCTCTGTTGAAAGTCGCCATTTAAAAAAAAAAAGAAATCAGTGTAATCTTACTGTAACGTAGGATTGGATGGTGTTACGCGCAGCTTCCTGTTTACTTTAGGAAGAGGTGTACACTAAACAGATGGCGTATGAAAATCCCCTTTATGTTGTGCAGATTTAGCCCACGCTTCACATATCATTTCGTGGCCAGGAGTGTTTTGGTTTCCTGTGCACATTATCGACACAGAGGGAAAACACTCATTTGTATATTCTGTATTTCTGTTTTTACTTGTTCTGTTAAACATGCAGACTTAAAACTCCAACAGCGCTTCCAGGGAATATCAGATAGATGTTTGAAGGCTACGCTTGAGGGATTTTTGTTTCTGCCATTCACTTTCTACAAACCACAGACAGCTGTGTTACAAAATAATGTATTCCTACTGGTGCAACTTCTATTTTTCAGCTTGTTTTACATTTCCTGTCATTAAGGATATAAATTAGAGAATATTTAATCAAGATTTTGATTTCTTTAGATCCCAACTCCTGATAAGCATCTGCTGAAATTGATGTTTTCTGATCAGAGTGGTTTTATTCAAACTCTTGGCTGTTTTTCTCAATACATAAAACTGACTTAAGACTTGAACTTAATGTTAACAAACATGACAAGCTTGAAAGTTAATTTTCAAATGTTAGTGTGGCAATCCAAATGGATTTCTGACGTACACCAATGCAGGGTTAGAGACGCACTATCTGTCATGGATTTCATGAGAAAATATTTATTTCAGTCAGTGAGAAAATTGAAAGAAAATGCTTGCAAACTTCTGTGCATAACAATAGTTAAAAAAATAGCTGCTGCTGTCAACTCTTTGAATTTATTGGGGTGTAAATGTTTGCAAAATAGTGTGTAAATCTCCTAAATGAAAACACAAAATCCTTTCTAACAAGCAGCTTTTCAGCTGAGAAGGTAATTAAATATTTATGAGTGGAGCGGTAGCGGCACGCGTTTTTGACAGATTCTAGAGAAGCTGCTGCAAATACTAATAAATAATGAGGTCTTATTAAAATACCAACTCTTCAAACATTTTCAGCTTTCTCTATCTTCTTCCAGTCATTTCTTTTAACTCAACTTATCTATAATTGTCATTTATATATTTACATTTCATCTTATTGCTGGATTAAATTGACTCCATTGCTGATCCATATTGGTGTTATTTTGTTCCTTCCTCTTTGTACTTTGGTTTGTATTTTCTCAGATTCCCCAGCAGAGGGCAGTATCAGACAAACATGCCAAAAACGCTGTTCTTGCTGCAGTCAGAGAACGGTTGTAATGTGTTTCTCGAACAAATAGCTGCTCAGAGCCTGGGGATGTTAGTTTTCTGTCATTGCTTCATGTTTAGACTAAAAACTGATCAAACCTTAACAGGATTCATTGGTTATTTTTACGAACCGATCGGAAAACGTCAGCTTCATACAGATTGCTACCTCCTGAGCCTTCCTGCCACAGATGCCCACACAGAAATCAGTGTGTCTGCGCTTTGCACTCCCTCCTTACGTCTGTTTTTCTTTCTCTCCTTTCTTTGAGCGTTGTGATGCTGATGAATAGCTCATCACTTTCCCATTTCTGCTCTGTGTGAATGGAAGCTAAATTATATTTACCTGCAGCAACGCATGCACTGAAACCCTGAGGCTCATACACCTGTGTGTGAGCAGTGAACATACACACACCTCGAGTCATTTTGGCTGTAATTATCTCAATCCGTCTTATGCCTCTCTCTCTCTCAATAAGCACCAATTTAGATTGTGTTCCGCGCTTGCTTTGTGTGTGTTTCTGTGCCTCGGGGCTGGTGTGTGAACATGTTTCCAGGGCCATTAGTTTGTGATTTAGTGAGGCCATTAGTCATGAATAAAGCTCTGAACAGCTCTCTGACATGGCATCTGGCTGTGGCACTGTGCCCATTGTGTGCAGTGGGGAAGAATACAACTCAGTGTGTGTGTGGTAGCTGGAGCCAAGAGGCTAAATAAGAAACAAGATGAGTATTTTCTCAGACCTGCCTGACCCTAAAAAGGAGCAGCAGAAGTCCAGAAATGTAGCTCATATGTAATATTTTTAGCATTGTATGTAAACAACTCTATAGTCATGTTACATGATCATTTTAAATGTTTTTGTTAGAATTAGATACAAATGAAGAGCAGTAGTGCCACCTAGAGGGTTCAATGACATTTGTATTTATTTTGAAACAGTTTTTTATGCAATAAATAAATAACATAATTACATTTAGAGCAGGAGAGACAAGTTATATTTTGTTCTTGTATGTTTTAGTCATTTTGAATTTGTCTTGTGCTGACCTAGACCTGAATTTATTTTATCACGGTAATTTTAGAAGACCTAATTTTCCAACAAGGTGCTCAATTGAAGAGCAAATGTATAAAAATATGTATGTTTCTTGTTTTCAGTTTATTTTTTTTAAAGCAAAATCTAATATTTCTATTTTTATTCATCTTATAAAGAGGTTATCGTAATGCTTATAAAGAAGCAATTTATGATCAAAATTACTTCATTAGATTATCTAACACAAATAATGTCTCACTCATCCTCCTTGATGGAGAAGAGTCTCTTCTGATGCCTTCAACAAGTGAACAAATGTAATGAATTCCAACATTTATACATTTGTTTAATTTCTTTTTTCAAATATGTATTTTTTTCACTTTTAAGACAGTAAAATGTTTATTACTTTTTAACTAATCAGACAGATCTTATTCCCGACTCGACTGAATTATATCAAATGTGTTTTAACATTCACCTTTTTATTTTGATTTATTTATTTTCCAATGAAAGTTTAATTCTGTGTTTTGAGGTGGCTTGTTGAAGTAACAGTGTATTTCCCTTTTTTGTAACCCAACTATTTTTGTCACTGGCGACGTTTCTCTGTGAGGAGGTTTCCACAGCAACTTTTCCAACTGTGCTCCTTTAAGTATTGAAGCAGTTTGAGCACTAAGACAGACGGAGGATAGACAGGTTTCTGGCAGCAACCAGCATTACGATAACCTCTAAATGTCTTTATTCAGACTTAATACAAATCACAATCTTTTCTGATATTAAATTAACTCTTCTGTCCGTCAAATGAGACGAGATGCTTCCTGAAAGGTTGCATGATGTAGAAGCAGAACATGTTTGCCTTTGAGGCTTTGACAGCCTGTGTAATATTGATTAGCTTTGCAGCTCTCTGTTGAATAATTAAACAGATCCTTTTTCTTGAACATGGGCTGACATTAGATTTTTACTGTAATGAAAGGAAACACCTCCCATCCAGAGCAGCATGTGTGTATGGCCACTGCAGTCCATTTTAGATGGATCGATGCCTGATTGTTGCAAAGGGCCCTCTGCAGTCTGCAGCAACTGGTTCAGCTTTTACTATCCATCATTCCATTCCTTTTTCTTTTGCTGCCTTAAAATGTTTTCTCCATCCTTCCTCCTGCGTCTTTCTCCTCCCTGTGTTTGTATTCTGGGTGCATTCACTTTGTGCAACCTGCTGGGATTTGTGTCCTCAGCTGCATGGTGGTTCACAGAGGAATCAGGTGGGATATATCTGTCCTAATACACCTCATGCACACACACTCACACACACGCCGAGAGACAAGCCTCCAAGAAAACACTTTGTAGATGTGTGTAAGTTTCCTTTTTCTTCTTCATCAGTGCTACCTGTACTGTGTGTTCCTTTATGTAACCAAACCAGTGCAGCTCTGTCTTTGTTTTTAGGATCTCATTTTTGTTGGCCAAATTGAAATTAGAAAAATAAATTTGCTTGCTGGAAACACACCAATTCAGAAACACTCACATTTTTGACAAAAAAAGGAAGAAGATGACAAGAAGTAGTAGGAAGATGATGGTGTGTTCTGTTGTTTAAAGACTTGTTTCTTATTTATTGGAAGCACTGTAATTCTGAAATTGTTTTTTTAACATTAATGGAATATTGTACGTTTTCCACACATTTTTAATGGAAATGCAACTGGTGACCGCACATCCGTTAAAGCAATAGAAAACTTGTGCATGGCGCAGCTAGTAAGTTTGTTTTTGACACTTTTTACTTGCTGCTTTTGGTGTCCCCATTACGCTTCTCTAAATGTAATGGGGACTCGATGGTGTTACGTGCACCAATCACTGACCACCATTAGTGCTTCCAAAGAGAAATATGGAGCAGTTATTGTTAGTTTTGAGCGCTAAAAGAAAAGACAACAAAAAACCCTATTTGTTAGGATGGCGTTAATTAGTCAGCAGGATGTGCTTCAGCACAGCTGTATCAGATATTTAGATCAGCAGGATTCTGTCTCAGTTCATGCTGAGTAAGTAATTCTTGTTTCTGATTAGTTGGATTAAGGATGCATCGGAAAGCTGCCAGACAGAAGATTTTAGGACCACCAATCTGACAATTTAGCGGTGAATTCCTGTCTGCGTCTCGGATTTTATCGGAGATTCTCTGCTTCATCACACCTGACTGAAATTAAAGGCTCATTATCAGCCTCTGCAGACCTTAAGGAGATGATCAAAATCGTTTGATCAGCTGTGGTTATGCAAACTCTGAAACTGCAGATGAATGGGCCCTGCGGACTGAAATGTGAACATCATTGTTTTATGAATGGTTTATCAAGCTGATTCCTCATAATTTGCAGTAATTAGACTCCAAGTTTCATTTGAAACATTTAGTTGTTTGATTTTATTGAGTCCTTTTAGATCAGGGGTCTTAAAAATGCAATCATTGCACCGGTTTTGTGCCAACAGCGTCCCACCCCGCCCCTCGCTGCAGCAGTGGAGGAAGACGAGGCAGAAAAGACGTGTGGCCCCACTGGATTCTGGGAAGCTCTCACCCCTTGCAACGGCTGCCGCAACCTCGGCTTTTCCAGCGTCTCTCAGGTACATAAACACAACACGATGTATACCGTCAATACAACTTTGCTCCCCTCCATGTGCATGTTGCATGAATGACAACCTGATAAAGAGATTGTCATTTAATATTAGTACATTTTTATTAAGCATGTCTGTTGTATGTGGCATAAGAAAACAGACATAGAAGTTGAATGAAATGACAGCTTGGTGATGTTTCTATTATGCTGGCTGAATTTATTTTTTTTCCCCCACTGGTTACCTTGGGAACACAGTGAATAAGACTTGCTCTCTGGCAGTTCTGAGTCTTTTCTGCTCAGTTTTCCTCCTTTCTCTGTTGTGAAAGGAAACTTCCTAAGCATCTTTCATCACAGGTAGCTCTTGGGTCATTTTATTTTGAATAAAAAGATGTTTAAATATCTATTTATTAAGGGTTACTCATCCCTCTCGGGATGGAAAGCGATGGTTCTGCTGCTGTTCTTGCCCAGTCAGCTCTGCATGCTTTGCCTCTAAATGTGGTTAAACTTGCTTCGATGAATGTTTAGTAATGAAATGCATGCTGGCTCTAGCAGCAGGACACCTGACATTTACAACAGAGCATACCCTGTGTCTTGTCCTCTGGCAGCCTGCCTGGCAGCCTGGCTCGCTGCCCGGAGAGGTTCACACCTGCATAGCCGGCCGTTTGTGCTAATGTCGTTTAAAAGAGAAAGGAAAGACTTTCTGCGCATTAGTTGAAATATGTGGAAACATTAAAGCATATCTGCATTATCATCTGTCTGTAAGTTTGACAGAGGAGGAAGAGACAAGGGAAATGAGGTTGGCATAATTTGATTTTGACTCTGCTGAGAAATAAAATAATTCATACGACGTCTGAAAAAGTGAGAGTCTGGAATTGAATTTAGACAATTTCCAGGTCTGGGTAATTTGGGGAGAAAATAACAATTTCTAGAAATCTTTCCCATCCGTCTGCATTTCTGCTCTCATTGTTTTTCAAGTCTCTGTTTAGTCCAAGATTTAATTACATCATAACGATGCTGGGTCTCTCTTTTTTTTTTTTTTTTGTTCTAGGAGAAGTTAATTATTTAGTTTTTATAAAAAGAAACGCATCCAACCTAATAAGCTGGGAGCACAGGATGCAAGATTCAATTTGTTCATCATTACACAACAGATTGCATAATGAAGTTAGAGGCTGCCTCCCTCTAGTTGACAGAAACCTGCAAACAGAAATAAAATGAGTGGCTGGTGAGGAGGGGATGAAGGGAAACATGGAGACCAAAATGAACATCTGGAGAAACTTTGTAGCTGTCAGAAACGTTCACGTTGGTGTTGTCTCCCCTGGCAACGTCTTAAAAGTGAAAAAAATACACTTTTTCTTTGGGGTTTGTATGAAATATGTTCTATTTAATATAATTTAATGATTTTGTTTCAACTTTCATAATCATTTTGTCATTGAATAAAATAAAACAGAAAAACTGGTAAAATTTTGTTTTTAAAAGCTTGTAGGAAACTGAGCTGTCAGTGCTTTGTAATTTTAAAACAGATTTTATTGTTCTTAGACAATTTGATTTTTCATTTCTTCTGCAGATCCATGTTTTTCAATGTTGTGATTTTCTTCTATTCGATTCATCCACATTCATGTATTTTTTTATTAAATTTTTTTTTAAACATAATTCCAATACTTTGACTCTCTCATGATGTAATTGTCGCTTGTTCTCGTTTGTGCGTTTCGTGACGATAAGCTGGTTCTCAACAGGAAGTGTTTCCTGTTGAGAACGGTTCTCTCCACTCGCAGCGTTTCTCCTGTCGTTGATTCTCAAAGTCGTCAGATCCTGGGTGGAAGTTTCGCCGTTTGACGTCAGCTTCGACCAGAAGACCTTTAAATCAGAATCGTGTCATAAGCAACAGACAGAGATGTTTCACCAGTAAAGGAAAAAGACTCAGATGGAGAGAGATTGACTGGGTTGCCAGGCAACACAGAAATTTAATAGACGGCAAACGTGGGATGTCCACGATTTGAAAAGGGAAAAAAAAAAAAAACCTGAGCCACATCAGCACAGGTGCGTCAGCGAGCTGCATGCAGCGGCTTCTTCCATTCTCCTTCATTACTTTTCTCTCTGTTTATACCAAACTTCTTTTTTTTTTTTTCGTCCTGTTTTAGAAGATCTCAGCTGCCCTTCCTGATCTGGGGCAGGGCAGATGAGCTCAGATCAGGAAGCTACGAGAGTCGTCGTTCATGATGTTAACGATCATCAGAGGCAGGTGTGTCTGAGAGGCTAGTCATTTATCCAACAACTTTAGATCATTAACACACATTTAGTGGAACTATAAAGAAAATTTACATGGTCAAAAAATATTTTTCTAAAAGAGAAATCTTAAAAGTGTGGCGTGCATTTCTTGTACCCCCAAAATCTCGGCCAACCAGGGCTAGCTAGGTTATTACACAATATTCCAGTTTGCCACAAACCATGTAGGAAAAAGAACATACATCCCATAGTAAAGCATGACTGTGGCAGCATCATGCTGTGGGATTCCTCGATTTTAGGAGGAAGTAGCTAAAAAAGGCAAATTCTGGACAAAAATCAAACCTCCAGACCCCAAAAGACTTGCAGCTAATATGGCAGCAAAAGGCTTTTAAACAGAGCAGTGACTTATAGGGGCTGAATGCAAATGCATGCCACACTTTTCAGATTTTTGTTTGTAAGAATTGAAAACAACAAATCGTCATCCTTTCAATTAATCAGTTATGACCTAAATTTTAAATATTTTAATTGTACGCAGTTCTTTAAATAAATGTATTTGCCCATTTCGCTCTCTCTCTTTCTTTCTGTCTCTCTCTGTGTTTAACAGAGCAGCTCAAAGTCCACAGTGTCCTTGTTAGTGGACTTTATTCTCTGGAAACTGCAGCGATTGGCTGCTAAAGTAACCTTCAACACAAAAACACCTCTAACCGCCTTAGGAGTTCTGCTAGACACAAAACAAAAAGTTGTGTTTAATTTTGTCCAGCTAGGATTCGCATGTATTATTCCTGAGGTGAAAATTGCCTTCAACAAAGTTTTACCCATTCTTTTAAAATCAGATTTGATGAAGTGTCAGTACTTCAGTTTTAAAATCTTGCCAGATGTCCTCAATTAGCACTTTGTCTGGACTTTGAATAGGCCATCTTTGACCAAAATTTAGTTTCTCCATCTATGCTGGAGAATCGAGAACCCTCAGCATGACGCAGCCTCCACCATTCTTAACTTTGGCAAGGCTGTGATAATTTTTTTAGCCTAGTGCTGTATCTTTTTTTACTTTGTATTTCATTAGTTTTTTGTTTTTTCTGTTAAAAACATGGAGGATTTAATTGTTTGCAAATGATTCATACTGGGACACACAAACCATAATTCTTTTGCTATGTTTCTCCCAAAATAAAATTCACACAGTGTCATTAAATTATTCACTGCTGTATATTTAAAAACACATCACCTGTCCGGCAGTGCTGGTGGTTCATCATTAAGGTGTGGGAATCGTTGAGGTAGCACAAAAGAAAATCCTCTGAAGACATGTTTCAGCATTGTGACTGAAATATAAAAGCAGAATCTCTAATAAATTAGACAAGAAGTTGCTTTTAGTGGCATTTTAAACATGCTCTCTTGTGCAAAGAGAAATACAAAGATATTCTGCAAAATAGCAGGAGTTATTTAATGTCATTACACTTATGATGGAACAGAAATGTCATGTTACTTTATACTGTGGAAAGTTATTTCTATTTATCATTACTCTAAGCTCTTTGCGCTCCAGCTAAACAAGGTGAACATTTGTTCATTGTCCGTGTGAATGCGGTGGGATTATTTCTGGAGCCAGGATAAGCCATGCTTTGATCTATGCTCAGTGCAGCGGCCATCATGAGGAATGTGAAAGATGTTTTCTTCTCAGTGACCCATCGTTACCTCAGACTAGCTCACTTCTCTCGAACCATACAATCAAAGTGGAAAATCAACATTTTTGTTGTTCATTTTCAGAAATTAAGATCTGAAAACTGTCATGTTTTTGTCTTCCTCCCCTTTTACTGTAAAACTATAAATAAAATCCACACCAAGCAACAAACTGTCCTGATAAATTGACGATGAGTGGAGTTATAAAATAATTCATTATAACTCTGGAGGAGCTGTAGAGAGCCACAGCTCAGGTGGGATAATCAGTTGGTAAGATAATTATTATAAACATAATTTTTATCAAAAGAAAACACAGAGAGATTAAAAAATCTAACATATAGACAGAGTTACAACCAAAAACTGTTTTGAAATTATCCCCAGTGTGTTTGAGTGGTTTAGTCAAAGTCCAGAGCCAGTCCAGTTGAGAATCTGTGCTACAAATTTAAAAATGCTACTTATGACGTTTCTTTTGCAAAAAAAAATTGGCAAAACTTTAGTGTCTGTTCACAAAGCAGACAGAGATTTTACCTTTAAAATGTATAAAAAGGGCTTGAATTTGACCCTGAAACATAATCATCTGTAGCATCTATTAATCTATATTTTCTGAGGTGCTACAAAATAGGCTGGTTTCTTTTTTAAGAATGTAAATAAATTTGTTGCTGTGAGGGTTTTTCTTCGTTGTAGTCCTCCACGACCAGCGAGGGCTTAAGAGGGTCCATTGTCCTCTGCTGCGTCCGGCCCTCCCTGCTCCCTCTAATCAAATAGTCTCCATGAGGAAATGCCAGCAGATTATAGCATCTATTCATATCTGATGGCCTATGAACTCGGATCTCAGAGTGCAGGATTTGGGTAACAATTGCTGGTCTGACACAGACTGAAAGACCCGCTGGATTTAAGACTTGAAGACCGACAAAGTGAAAATAATCACTGCAGAAGACTACTTCCTCCCTGAATCGTCTCATGGTGGGGTGAAACACATTTACAGTTTGGAGTAGGACAGAAGGAAAATCTTAAAGTATGCAGAAAGCCACCACATGATCAAACGAGGTATTTCCTGCAGCCGCTCTGCATTTTTACACACATATAATCAGAAAGTGTTTCATGTAATCCTGCAGTCACATGCACTCAGATGTTTAATCTGCCTGGAGCGCTGGGATGGGAGCTGCATACGACCTGCTAATTAGTGGCCAGAGGAGGCCTCTGTTTGTCTGCACTCTTCCTGTGCGCCTCAGAAACAAGCCTGTCTGTGTCCCTATCTCTGCCCTGAAAGATAGGAAGGGAGGGCAGTTTTATTTCGGCCCGCTTTGAGCGAATTTTAGCACATTTAGGAGCTGATCAGGAGGAGCGACAGGCAGGAAAACCATCAGAATCGCAGGTAAATGTTGTAGTGTTTCATTTTCATGGTTGAGTGGGAATAAATTTCAATTTCAGTTTTTTAAAAATTGAAATATTTAGTCTCTCTGCTCTCATTTTCTTTAGAAAGCAAACCTTTATGTGTCTGTTTGCCCGTCATTCCAGTGTTTTTCTACATTTGTGTGTGTGAGGAAATCCCTGCTCCCTAACTCACCGCACTCCCACTTCCTCCGCTTCCCTTCCTCGGCACAAACTCAGTTTTCCTCTTCCCGCTCTGTCTGTCCCGTGCTCATCTCCGTGGGATTCGCTGACACAAACCTTCTAAAGTAAGTGTTGACTCGGATCCTGGTGGCTTTACTTCAGCCTGCGCTTTCTGCTGCTTTCTCTCTCTGTTGTCTGTTGTTTCCTTGACTTGTGTGGCCATTTGACATATTTTTGTCTTTTGTTTTAGCTCAACAGGTGAGGTGGAGATAGCTTTGTTCTATTTTTTTTTTTATCAGAATTTTTAGAAAGCTCAGGTTTACCGGAATATCTCCCTTAATGTTTCTTTTTTAATTTAATTCATTCCTCAGCTGGAATTACTGTGCACTATAAATACTTCATTAATTCACTGTGACATTTATCTAAACCACCAGGGTTCTAATAACCATAAGCCTTTCTTTCTTCTACTGCATTTATTGCGACTAACACTTTATTAAATCAGGACTGAACGCCTGTTTTCTGTCACTTCCTCTCTAATTCAAAAAGGAGAATCTTTGTTTCTTTTTGACTTTCACTTCCAGTCGCTCTCCAGAGATTTTAACTTCATTTGCTTTGAAGGGCAACGCCCTCTTCCACTGCGTGCCACAAAGTAATCTGCTGCATTTCCTGTCTGATTTGACCTGGTGACACACAAGTTCATGTTCACAAAATCCTCCAAGATATTCAGGGAAATCCGGCACTTAGTTCGTCTTTTCCTTATATTTGAGAAGCTTCCTAATAGTAGAACTGCTTATAAAAGTTTAGAAGGCTATTTAGGGAAAAGCTAAGGTCTAAAAGTAACTTCTAAACACTGTATTAATATGGAATACTTTGACATAACAGAGATGATCAATGAGACATAAACATGAAGGAAGAAAAGTCAAAACATTGATAAACTACATGAATTTCTTAAAATGGAAAATTATGCATAATTTATTCATTGGTTTGACCAATTTGAGCTTCTGTCTCACTTCTTTCTACATTTATATTTTGTATGTGTGTAGTCAAATTGAAAAATGTGTGTTATGTGGGTCTAAATTGAGAAACTGAAGAAGGTGGAACATCAAGACATTTTGTGTGTTTGTATCTGACACCTTTTGAATAGTAAATCTATATTGGGACCAGAAATTTATATGCACTCATTGTATTTTTTTTCCACATTTAAAGAACCCAACACTTTGGAAATACTGTCAGTATTCTTAGTGTCTGACCTGATATTTTAGTCAGTTTTACTTCCAGGATCAAGCGTCTTACATGCTGAGGTGAGTCAATGTTCCACTGAGGCCCATAAAGTTGGAATAAAGTATTTTGTATGAGAGACTTATTGACAGAAAGTTGTAATTTCTCACATATTATTATAAAAGTGGAAGTTAAACCACAAACGTTTAGTTGTCTTCAGTTATCTGCTTCTTCGGCCTATACCTGTAACACAGACTGCTACAGGAAATCTGTCCAGCAAGTCTTTGAAGAAAATTTCCCTTTGGGATTTAGGTGGTATTTTTTGAGTCAATAGTAAGAAGAATACAATAATTTATAAAATGAAATTACAAAGAAGTCATATTATGAAAATAAACTTGTGCAAGAAGAAAGTTGTAATATTATTAAAATAGTTGCAATAATGAGAATAACATTTAAAAAATTAAGTCAAATTATGAGAAAAAAGTTGTAATATTTTTAGAGTAAAGTCATGTTACCAGGATGAAGTCACAATATTATGATTTTATTCTTGTACTTTATTTTCATAATATTTTAACTTTATTCTCAAACATTTTTATAATTTTATTTTTATTTCCATATTGAGCCTAAATACATTTTTTAACTAAACTGAACTGATGTAGAAAAAAATGATCCCACTTCAGAGGGCATTGTGTAAATCAAAGTAGGATACACTTGAATATAACTATTTTTGTTTGCTTTTTTTCACTGCTGGTTTCTTAAAGGAACAGGTTTTTCTTTTGGTTTGGTGTGAAAACTTGAACTAACTAGTCTGTCGACCCAAAGCAGTGTCAGTTGACTGAGGCCATGTGTGGAGTGAAGGCGAACAAGCCTGACTGGATCAGCATTAACCGGTAATGACGATCTGATTGAGAGACGATGAAGACTGAAAGGAGCAAAAAGAGAGAAAGATATGGCTCTTTGAGTTTGTTGGCTTTCTGTGAAAATACATTTGAAATTGAGAGTCAGTGATGTGAGAGAAACCATCAGCAGACTGATTGCTCTCTCAGCCAAAGTGATTTATGGTTTTGGAGGGTGCTCTCTGGAAGATTGATAGCCTGGTGCAGTGTGGGTAATGTAGTAGGAGATAATGGCAAGAAGACTAACAGATTTTGAACTACGAAAAAAGGTAGGAAGTAAGTGGAGGAGAGGATAATGGAGTCATTTCATAAATATATTTAAACCAGTGATAAGACAAGATGTAGCCACACACAAGCTGCGGTCATAGTGACATGTTAACCACTGATCCCATTAGGAAAGCCACAACTTCGGCCAAATGTCGCTCCAGAACGATGAGTCCCGTCTTGTGGGAAAAGGACAAGCAAAGGCGGTGCAATGGGGACGGGAATGTTTTGTCTTGTTGGCTGGAATCACGCCGTCTCCTGTAACCTTTCCCCCTTCTCCACATCGCTGCTGTTTTTCATTCCTTCCCCGTACACATCTGCCTCACTGATAAGGGGCATTTGGGCTTTGGCTCGCTCTGTGAGCCCGGTGGGACTCAACCTTTTCACTGCAGCTGCAGCGATGTGCAATGTGAAATCTTCCTGTTGTATCCCGTAAAGGCGGCTCCAAAATCGACTTTTATGTTTTCAGTCTCAAAATGTAATCAAATTCAACTTTTATTTAGCTTAAATATTAAATGTTACTGGAACGGTTCTTCCAAACAATGTCTGATTTAAGTCAATACGCTCCGTGTCTCCTGATACGTCTCTGCCGGCTTTCAATATCAAGAAATAGATTTTCTTTTTATAAAAAATTCAGGTTGGGTAGTGTTTGTGCAATCTTACTGCAGATTACCAATTTTATATAGGTTTACACTTTGAGGTCATTATAACTCATGAATATGGTTTTATCTAAGGCTTTCTGACGTAGCTCTGGCTCTATGTTGAGGTTTGTTGTTCTGCTGCAGGGTGAATGTCCGTCCTGGCATCTCATAACTTCCTAAAACCTTTAAACTTTTGTCATTTTTTCTTGGATGTTTTTCCATAAAGGCCAGATTTGTGGAGTTCACATCTAAAGACTTTGTTTCTTCAGATTCTCCCACCTTTTCTATGTTCACCTTTTCGTTTTTTTATGCAAGTATCAGAGAAACAGGGAGACAATTCAAATGCATTGAACACTTTAAAAAAGGCTTTTTGACAGAAGGTTAATGAAAAAATTTTAATCTGTAATTTTCTTTTCACTTTTATATTGGTCTGTTCAATTCGGCTTATTTTGCGCCAGAAAAACATGATCACATCAATTCAATCTTCCAAACATTTCAATTGATCCTTGTGATCAAGCATTGCAAAAAAGTTTCTCAAATTTGTAAAACTTCATGGAGAATTGATCATTTTATTTCAATATGTCAGCTCGTTTAAACATATTTGGGGAAAATTGTTTCTGCTATGAGTTTGCATGTGTCGTACATCGCAAGACATTGTGTCATTTGAAAATGTCAGTGTTGGATGTTTTTGGAGATAAGTTTTATGAACGTGTAAAGAAAAAGTCAAACTAACAGTCAAACTGTTTTAGTTGCTTTCTGAAACAAAAAGATGTTTGGATGTTTTTTCGTCCCTTTATCTCGGGTTTTGGGGAATTTGTGGGATTATTTAACTGCTTATTTTTCCGTGGAATCAAAGGATGTGATGAGATGAGACCCTGAAGCAATTCAAATATCACCAGACATGTCTTTCATCTGTTCAAACAAACCCTCTGAAGCTTCAAACTTTAATTTTCCATGTTTATTTTATCTTTCATGATCAGATTAATCATATTTGAAAAGTGCATACATTTGCTGGTGATGTTGGGAATACAAATGTTCATCACAAAGAAGGAATAAAACCAAAAGTTTTAAAAGACAGAGGAGAGTTGAAACCTTTTAGATGAACTCTGATGTTTGACTTTTAGAGCCTGCAGCTGAATGGAGAGTTTACAGAAACGAGGCGTTTGGCTTGTTTTTAAAGGTTTGGCCCTCAGCGAATCATCTAAATGCACTCTTGCTCTGCTGTCTACTCTCATCTTGATTTTTTGAGCCTTTTATGTCAGAAATCATCGTCATAATCCACGTTTCTGCTTAAGTTAATGACAGGCTGCAGTATGTGCTGTAATTGGAGGTGCTCTTGTGGTAAATGGAGGGAGTACATGTGTTTGTACCCACCAAAGTGCTTGAAATAAATGGTGGTGGTGGAGGAAAGGCTCCCGGGAATTGTCCTGGTTCCAGCCCTGATATGTTTTAGGGAAATGATCAACATTTTTGTGTTTTCCTTGTCTTCATCCAGGATTTTAAGCATTCTGTTGAGCTGGTCACGTCTCCGTCGCTGGACGTTTTCCTGCCTGAAGACGAGGACAACCCGTACGAGTCCGTGACCACCGCCGTCACACGCAAACCCTGCTCCCTCGAAATCAACCACCGGCTCAACGTCTGCGCCCGCAACGGTAAGAGAAACCGCTTTGGGATTTTTCTGTGTCTCTTCTGCAATTAAAAGTACAGCAACAAATGAATAGAAAAACTATAATGCCAGGTGTACCATGAAACACAGTTTGCATTTTTCAGGATTTAAGAAAAGGTTGGTTTGTTTAGGTTTTTTCAACCTGTGCTATTTCATTTTGACAAATAAACAGAAGAAAAAAACACCTCAAAGAACACCTAAATTTAGTAGCAGATTTGATATGATCTAGACATGCTGTATGTGTGTGAAATATTTATACATTCATGCCTTTTTACTCTATAAAATAACAGTGGGCGTCAATATTAGTTGATTAATTATTCAAAGTGTTAAATTCTTTCACCTTATGGACTCAGCTGCTTAGCAGACATGGAACTAAAAAGTGACATGGACATGGAGTTTTGAAGCCATGTTAAATAAAGAAAAAGGTGATGAGTTTTTGCTCTTATGGTTTCCCAATAATAGTTGTTTTTTCTGAACATAAATATTTCCACTTTTTTAAAGCTTAGGAAGAAATCTTGTACGTTTTTCTCTGTTCAACTGATTCTGTGCTTCAACAACTGAGTGATATAAGAAAATATCTGCCAGAAATTATACTGACATCAGGATCAAAGAATAGAAAACATTTTTTTGAAATCCTGGAACGTGAAAAAATCAATAGATATTGCAAATGCATAAAAATAGGTTTCAATCTTTAATAAATTATTTTGCTGGACATCCACAAAGTTTGCTTGTTGGACTTAATTTGCTCCTGTGTTAAACCAAATGTGGTTTATGTGAGGAGGACAAAAAAAAACAGAAGAAGTTCATATTGTAAATAGTTTTATGGGATAAGGATGTGAAATCAACATCTTGAGGAAATATGCTCTATTTAAGAAGAACTACTAACTACTAAGCTTATAATAAAAAAAAAGTGATTTAGTAACCAAACCAAGTGCTGTTGCACTTAATTACCCGTCTGCTGGATGCTAGTTGGGATCTCAAGCTAAAAAGGCTATTTTGAAAGTATTTTTTGAGCTGTTGTCTTCAGATATTAGAGCTGCTCTGAACTCTTCCTCCAGCTTCAACTTTCTCTCTACTTCCTGTTTGCTCTTCACGTTTCGCCTGCTCCATTGTAGTTTTGGCAACCACAATGCACTCTTCCCCTTTTTCACTGCAGCTAAGCTACACACTGCAGGTTGTCAGGGCAACTGCATCCCTGGCTGGTGAGTCACCTGTACGTTGCCATGGGAACTGTCTTGGGAGTGACATATCAGCCCTTCGTTTCTTCCTCCCACCAGCAGGGAGGGAGGAAGGAGGCTTCCACCGAGGGAAGTCTCTCCCCGTGTCTTTATCTATTTATTTATTATGTGTGTGTTGGGGGGGGGTGAGCGGTTTCGTTTTGATTGGCTGAAGAGTTGAGCCGCCGGTTCACAGTCAGCAGCTCGAGTGCAAGAAGCTGAATGCTGGGTGATTTCTGTCAGTTTGAGAATCTGTTGGTGGAAAATTACTCGACTGACGTAAGCGAGCTGTGTGGGTGCTGTTTGTTCGTCGCTCTCTAAGTGCTGTCTTACCTGACCAAAAGGTTGGGATGGGGGGGATGAGATAATGAAAGAGTCGAGCCTGTACTCCCTACATATTATGTGAAATCTTTCTGCATGCATCCACTCCACTGTGGAAGAAAAACAGGGTTGGTGCAGATTATGCATTGAGCTGGTGAAGTTTGGGAGCAGCTTTCGGCTGATTCTTTTACATAAATTTGAACTTGTGACACAGCAGGAAGGAAAATCCTGGATTCCTGCTCTGAGCTCAGTCACATGCCAGGCAAACTAGACAAGGATGTGAATCAGTGTCTTTATCTTCCCCTGAGAGGAAGGATGTGATGACATAGGAGCACAGAGTCGTTGGGTCTGAGATGGGAAGCAGAATGCAGAAACTTGATGCATTTCAATTCAAAATGTGTTATCTGATCGATACAGGGGGAAATAAACACACTTTTATGTATTTTGGCCTTCAGCCACTTAAAATTTCAGTTTGAAATCACTTTATTTTGATTTATTAAAACCTCCATCAAAGTGGAGATTTAAACAAACTTTGGGTTTGTGTGATAATTGTGTCAGATGATAAACTGGCCAACACAAAGCAGTGCACAATGCTAATTATTTTCAAACCTTGTGCAAACAAAACAAATAAAGTGTGCAGTGCATTGTTGTGATCAGAAGAAATTTGTCTGAAAGGCACTAAAGCTAAACCTACACTTTATTCCATTTCATAAAATAAACATCCGATCCAGCCACAATCCATGAAGCAGTGGTTTAAAGTTTGCAGCAGCTCCTCCACACTAGGTGAGATTATGCATGGCGAGAATAAAAGCAAAAAAAGTACAATCTGTCTTAAGTGGTTAAGTTTTGACATTGACATGCATGTAAAACAACAAAATACTTTTGATCGGAACTTCAATATTTGAGGTGAATATTTTCTGAAATCTAAAAGTTTTTGTGCTGGTGGAGGGTTTTCTGCAGGTTTTTCCTTTAGCTGCATTGTCACAGCAGGTCTGAGCTGCAGGCTGAGAGTCTCTGAACCTCTTCTCTGCCTCAACAATCAAAGCAGCTTTATTGTATTCTCTGTGGTTGCTGTGGCTCACTCCAGCAGCCTCTGAAACAGCAGAGACCTGTTGTCTCTGCACTTCCTCAGCTTCTCAAACCTGTCCTACCTTGGATACTGCAGTATTTATGGGAATGTTGCATCCCACTGCACCACACGTCCTTCCACTTCATAGCCTGTCACTCCCGAGATGCAATGAATGGAATTATATTCTTTGTAATGCTGAATATATTGGGAGAGTTTTTAGCCTAATCCTCCAACTCCATGAGTTTTAAAGCAGTCATTATATGAATTAAGCAGGGATTATAGTTGCTGCATTGGATGGATTTGTTTCAAACAAGAGGATCTGTTTCTGCTGCACTGCTTGCCTGCAGATGCCGTTAGCCCTAATTAACCACAATCTCTTCAATTATTTCACACGCACAGAATGTAATGTTTGCTGTGCAAGTTAAGACTGTTGTGCATTTTCCAAAATGAAGCACATACAACCTTAAATAGACAAGTTGGCTTGGTAATTCATTTCTGTTCTCATCTCATTTTCACCAAAGAATTGAATATCATACTGGTATTTCTCATATTCTACTCATATTTCTACTCATTGTAGTTAAATGGTGACTTATATATTGCATCTGTCCACATACATGAACCGTGTTTAATTCCTATCAGGAAGTTGTTGTTTTATGTTTATTATAATTATGTTAAATGTTTAACTGGCCAATGCAGGGCAGTGCATAATGCTAAGACGGACAAAAAATGAAACATGATTTTCAAACATTTTTGCAAACAATTTAGTCTGAGGAGGATTAATAATTACAAATACCTGAACAACATTTAAAAGCAAGATTCAGATATAAAGATTTACATCAAATTCCCAATTTCCCTCATTAATATCTGGTTAAATATGTTTTAGCTTAATGCATTTTTGCTATATTATTTTTATGGGAATACGTTTCTAGCGAAGTTCTGGTTGAATATTTGACTATTTTAACTTTTTATCTAAATTTGAACAATTTTAATACTGAGATTCATCATAAGTGAGACCAAGACTATCCTTCCATCGCTGGAGCCTTTCTAAAAACCAATTTTTCAAAGGTAAAAATTTCCACTCAGGTCTTTGCAGTTGTTAGTAGTTAAAATGTTAATGACTAAAGACTCTACCATCCACATGAACTTTCTCTGGCACTTCTCTGTGGTGGATAAAGCGGCGATGCTGCTGCTTCTCAGCTCATTTATCCCACTTTGGTCGACACTTGCGGCTCAGTCAGGCTAATGGCAGCTTGTAGTAGCTCTGGGCTCTGACATTAAAAGTGTTTGGGTCCATTGACTTGTCGGAAGAAAAAGCAATAAAGTGTTGTCTTCTCTGACAGCCAGAGGAAATCACTGTGGAGAACTGTTATGCACACAGCCACAATCTCACACTTTTACTTTGCGTTTTTACTTTGTTCTTAATTGCATTTCAATTAAGTGTAGACTTTTAATTATGTTGAGTTTGTTTCGGCCATTTGCACTAATCTAAGTTTGGTTTAAAGTTTTCCTTAAACTTGTTTGTGCATTTTCCTGACTTTAGATCATGTTTTTTGAAAGTAAATAGATGGAAAAAATAGTGTTTTTGTTTTGTTTTGTTTTGCCCTGAACTTGATCAAACTCTAACTGTAAGATGCAGAGAAGAGCTATGTTTCGGCTCACATGCACAAAGAGTAAGCATGTAAAGTGTTAGAGCTGCACAGCAGCAGATCTGACAGCCTGGAGAACTCGTCTCGACGGGATTCGTCTTGATGGGCACATATGAAGGCAGCATCTGATGAAACACTTGTCAGAACCAAACGCTCACAAACACACGGAAATGTTTGAGAAATATAAGCCCGGACCATTTGAAGCTTTTGAATGTTTTACAGTTTACGAGGATGCATTCTGACACTATGAAGCTTTCCTAGAAAAATTTGTGTGGATATACGTAAAGAGAAGCGTTTTGAGAACTGACCCCGTCAATTACCTGTTACGGTTTGGAGAAGAATTTAAGGCTTACATCTTTAGGAATCAGAGACGTTCAGCCTGTGAGTGAAATTCATCGTGTGAGCATCTAGACTGAGAATCTTCTCCAGGCATCATGTCTGCCACCTAGATTTTCAGTACATTGGACATAAGAAACTCAGTTAAAATGTCAGGTTTACGGAATGTAAAAGTTTTAGTACAAAACAGAATTTTTGCTAAACTACCATTGTTGTTTTGTTGTTGTGGTCTGGCTTTTGTCGTAGGGTTAACCTGCCTTTGTTGGCAGGTAGCAGCTGTCAAAAAGCTGCAATTATATTTGTGTATGTATGTTGCCACCTCTGCCAACAATATTGCGACAAAGTAGGTCAGTTTGTTTTTTGTGTTTTTCCTGCAAATTTAAAGAGTCTCTGACTATTTTATCATCAGTCTCTCCTGTCCTTCCCCATCTTCGCTCTTATCCGCTATTAAATGGCCGTACACTGGGGAAATTAGCTCCACAGTCATTGGCCACACACACACACACACACACACGCACACATGCAGTGTGTGTGTGTGTGAAAGACATCACTGTACCGGGCAGCACTCATATTCTCCTCCTGCGGTTGTTGCTATGGCTTTTCAAATTACAGAACATCTCCTCACCACAGTCTTATGCTACTATGCCTGTGATTGCTGGTGTAGTGGGTGGAAGTATGCAAGACGCCAAGTGTAGAACTGAACTCCTCGATTTTCTGTTCCGACCCGGTCCACACAACACATCTCTATTTTGCCAACGCAACTAGTTCAGTTATTCTTATTCAAAACTGATATATACAGAGCTGAAACAACTGTTTTATGAATGATACAAAATAAACTTAGTGTGCAATATTTAGTTTTCAGTTCCTTCAGTATCAACTAAGTTAACAGCTTTTATATTTGAAGGTGTGCTGATTTTGTCTTTCATTTTTGAAAAAATAAATGCGCTGTAATATTAAAACAATACAGTAATTAATATTACATTAGTCCTAAGCATAAGTGTTTGTTTATTTTATTAAAATTAATAATAAAATACTAATGGTGTGTTCACACCAAATGCGTTACACGTGTCAAAAACGCAGCCGATGCTTCAAATTGCATGCTTTATTTCCAAGATGAAGAAAACTAAGGTTCATTTATGTTTTGTTGTTGTTAATACAATATAATGATTTTCTCTTACCTGTTTGCGTTTCTCCATATGATGAATAGATCTGATTACCATCAGTAAAATACTGGAATGCAGTGGCGTTTCTCCTAAATGTTTCCACCACAAGAAACCTGTATCTTGTATCTTGCAGCTAAATGACGTCAACACGTGTGGGCATTAGGCCAACCTACCTGAACTAAATTCTCAGTTGACAGACACAGAAAGCAGACAGGCTTACTGTAATCTTTATTTGAATATCATCAAAAAAGAAAATATGGGGCCCTAAAGCTGCAGGCAAAGAGTAAGTAATGCGGGCCCCAAAATACTATTTTTCAGTTGGTTTGTTTTTTAATTGTTTACGTTCATCATTAGTCAAATTCTTTAAAAGCTTGAAAGGTTTGGATGGATGCTGTTGGGTACGTTTCCCAAAACAGCTGCAGCTTGGGTTATAATTAGTAAATTAAAAATATTTAAAAGATTGGAAAATATTATAGACATCGACTACAGAGCAATAATTTAGGACAATACAATTGAGAGAGAAAAAACCCAAACAAATCTTTGCTTCGTCTCTGTACCTGCCTTTGACTCTTTCTTTTGGTCCAAGGTCACTCGTCCCATGCAGCCGTGAGCGAGGAGGAGCGCGGTAACCATGACAACTGCTCAACGGGCCCCACACCGGACTGTTCACCCCCTTCCCCTGACACGGCCCTGAAGAACATCGAGAGAGTCATCCGCCCACAGGTAAGCGAGCGCTCGCGCACTAATGAATGCATTATAGGTCGCTTGATGCATTATTGAGCATCCCTGCATCCTCCCACAAGCAACTTATACACACACACAGGCACACACAGTCAAGTAATGATATATTTTTCCATCTGCATGTAGTTCAGTATCACTTCTAGAAGTCTGAAATATTATAAACAAAGTGTTAAATATGTTTGCCAGATATTTGATAAAAGCAAAAACCAAACAAGTTCCTTCAGTTCTAACTTACCGTGAAACATCTGCAATTATGAACCAACATCTGGCTGCTTAACATGAGTTTTAAAGAAGCATGCGGAACATCATCTGACAAGCACAATCTACACTTAGACAAACCCATTTAACGGCGTACTTGCTTAGCAGCTATGACTTCAGATAAAAAATATGTTACTATTTATGTTTGTGTTTTTTTTATGTTCGGGAGACTTTAGTAGAAAATTCCTGGCATCTGGAATATAAATCTAATAACAGATGCGTGTTTATTTTTTTACTACTTTGATAAATGTATTATTTTCATGTCTAAGACTTTGTTTTGGTCAAATATTAAGTTGTTTGTAGAGTCAATTACCCTCCTTGTGAAACATTAATCTCTGTGAATTTTATAGATTTAATTTCTTAGGCTTTCATCTCCATCTGAAAGGGTCACATTTTATAGGACATGCATAATAATTTTTCCCCATTTCCTTTTGCTTGTGAAATACGCTGAAAAACTTGAAAAAAGCAAATGCAAGATTGGATAACTTCCCCTGAAAGACAAAATGCATACCGGACATTGAACTCATCAAAACATAGCATCTGCTAACTCAGTGTTTCCCAACCCTGGTCCTCAAGGCACACTGCCCTGCATGTTTTAGGTATTTCCTTGCTTCAGTCCAGCTGATTTCAATTGATGACTGATTAATAGACATTTGTTGAACTGCAGTCAGTTGAATCAGGCACATTAAAGCAGGAAAACCTCTAAAACATGTCGGACAGTGTGCCTTGAGGACCAGGGTTGGGGAAACACTCTCCTAACTAGGTAGATAAATTATTTCTTTGATTCTTCTCTAGTGAGGAAATAAAAGCAAACATTGTCTAAGATCTGTAATTTGGAGACCTAACAAACAAGCACCCTACCAAGGCTTTAAAAGCACACTGAGGTGAGCAGTTTTTAGAAGAATTGCATAAACAAAAGAAAATTCTGGCTTCATTCGGATTGCCATCATAACATTTACTCCCATTCTGACCAACATTCTTAAATATGCAGTTGTTTTGTAAATAGCTGGCAGTCTCACTTTTCTACACATAATAAATAAATGTTTTACTGGTCACAATAAAACTATTGTATGCCATGTTTCAGTCTTTATAAGTTTATCTATACTTATTTGTGTCATAATCATCTATCTATGATAATAATTTGTTTTCTGTGGCAAAGATGTGTCACTCCAAAACTTTTTGGTGTCAGAAAAATGTTTCAAAAATTACATGCTTGGAAAATTTTGAAAATTTCAGTTCAAACCGTCAAAATGTTTGTTTTCTAGCACTAGAATATAAAGAAAACCACCCTTTCATGATGTTAGTAGTTTATTTTATGAAATAGTTATCCAATAACTGTATTATAGGTAAATATATAAAGTGATCCAGAGGGAAATGTATTTGTATGAAAGTGTAAAGCTGAGCAAAAGATGAAATGTGTTGAAGCAAATTCTAAATATTATTTTTGTCCAGCATATATTTTTCCTGCTGCTTTATTAGGCTCATGCGACTGCAGAGTAGATTGCCGAGATGTTTCCGATCATGAATAACTCATTTCAAACTCAGAAATTTAAATGCAACAAGACGGCCTCATTAGTGACTCTAGCTAAATTTATTCCTCTCACTCCTGACTCTGAGTTGATAATATCATATACCGAGGAGCTTCACGGATGTTTCACACCCTGATAATTAAAGGCAGTTGTTTTCTCACTGAGAGGTTGATGTGACATAATTAAAAAAAAATAAAAATAAAAGTCCAACTCCGCTCCCTATTCACTGCAGGGAGTCATAATCAGACTGTTAAACACTGGAGCCTGATAAATAAACTCTAATGAGCTGCAAGGGATTAATGCACAAATGTTGATGGTTTTAATTATTAATGAAGTCACTTAACTTTTAAACTGTGCCTCAATTTGAATAGTTATTCCTCAAAAAGCCACATTTTCCCCCCTCATATAATTTACTCTGAAATATTTAAAAACCAGCAGTTTGTACGTTCACTAGAGATGAACCAATCCGATATCAATATCCATCTTGTTCCTGATTTTTAAGAACATTCTAGATTAGGAAACGATTATAATGATGATAGATTATTATGTGCCCGATCCATAACATCAGATCTATTCAGTCTAATTTAGTTTTATTATTTACTTCACATTATATTTTTAATTCTTAATTACACTTTCTCAACCATTTAAAATATTTGTTGCAGTTTAATTTGTACATATTTAACCAAGTTAGTCAACATTGTTTTTATCAAATTCAGTTTCTTTATTATTTATTTTACACTGGCTGTTATGCTCCTAATTTCGCTGACTAAACAATATAAAGTTGTTTGTAAATGTTTGACCAAACTTTAAAGTATAAGTTTAATTTATTTGACTCATCAAATAAATTTCTAATTCAGCCATTTTTTTTCTGTATTTGAAAAAGAAATGTTTTAAGACAATTCAGCGCCGTTTTTATGTATCGGATCGGTATGGCTGATTTTAAACCTCAGATTTCAGTATCGATATCGGAAGAGAAACAGCTAACATCTCTAATTCCTCTTTTTTTTGTTGCTCCTTCTCTCTGAGGTACATGTGAACCAATTGTGGGACAAATGCGAAATGTTACACCTAATATCAGTCGATTAAGACTACTCATAGGTGGAATTATGGTAAAATTACACCTAAAATTGTTGCACTCAGTTATTTTCAAGAGGAATTTTTAGGTTTGTGATGTAATATTGACATGAAGGAGCTTGTTAAAATGAACCACTTCCTTCATCTCGAGTAAATCGTTTAAGTTCCCCGATAAGCTCCACCTTCTCCTCTCATCTGTTGTTCTCCCACCCGGACCTAACTTTGGCATGTGAACTAATGTGTGCAGAGGGATCACACGCCGTGCCCAGCAGGCCGCCGCTCGGCTTGAAGTGTGCATAATCAAGAAGCGCCACAGTTCAGTTTTATAGCTCATAATTAATACTCAAGAATTCATTTCATCTGGTTTTAGTGTTCCCGCTGGCAATTTCTCCACTTCATAGTTTCAGCAAACGCAACTCACAGATAAGAAAACAAGAGCTTCTGTATTTATTTGGATGCATAGAATGTCTCACTGTAGTGTAGTAGCATCCTGTAGGCTTTCTGGTTTTGACATATAAATATTGATAAGGTGCTATAAGACCACCAGTAAAAATCCAGATTTGATAGCAGCTTCTAAACAGGATGACTTTTTAATGAAGATTTGATTCAGTTATTTGCTCATAATCAGACTGAAATACTCAGGGTATATCATTCGGTTCTCACTAAACGCTGTCGTTGTATTTTAAGACTGAGAGCAAAATCCAGCAAAATTGAGAGAACACCAGCCACTGACTTTAAAAGCAAACATGATCACACAGGCTGTATTGCTGCGGTCCAGATTCTTCATGTTTTGCTCTTTTTTATGTCTTTATCCTTTGCCTCCTGTCCAAACTGTCAGCTGGATGTGTCAGATCTCCAAAGGCTCACACTCTGAGCCCGCTTGAATGCGAGACGCTGAGTTGAAAGGCACAGAAAGAGCGGAGAGCCTTAGATGACTGCAAACATCATGGGGTTATCAGCATCGTGCCCACTGGCTCCGTGTCCTACTTTGCTGGGTGTGTGAATCATTTAAAAGGAAAACCCCTTTTTTTTTTCTCTCATGATGCAGTTTCTGATTACGGGGAGCGCATGATGAAACTCGTGTCCTCTATCGTCTAATAAGATGCCAAAATCAATCTACATTTTAATGTGTGAAAGTCTTGATCTTCAAAAAAAGTTGCAGCGTTAATTTCTTTTCCTGTTTTTTTGGGCTAAAAATACAGTTTTTAAATTTTTTATTATCAAATATCTTCAAAACACCTTTGAAAGTTGTAGAAGAAGACTGGATAGATTGAAAAAAATAGAATAAAAGTAATTGTAAGTACATGAACAAGTTATAGGGGCTAAATTATAGACTCAGATCTCACTGTAAGGACTACAAATCTTTTTTGTCCTTGAGATTTTCTGAAATAAAGTGCTGCTTGTGGGAGGAATCTCTGTACTTGTTAATTTCACAATCCAGTTTGGTTAGAAAACATAATTATGTCGTTTAGTCACTGATTTGCAAACTTGTACGGGTGTATTTAAAGGAGACAAGCTAAAGTGGCCTTTATTTCAATGTTTTTCATCATAACATTGGAAATCAGCTTCATAAGCATGTCTGACACACATTTCTTTACTTATTTATGATTTTATTCTAGTTTTATTGCATCTTTTGTCTCCTAAAAGAGGGACTAGGCAGTGCACAACCGCTAACTATTTAGATCTGGCTGATTGTCAAAGATGAAATCATTCAGTGACTTCACTATGCAGTTAAGATCCAAAAAGAAAGTTTGAAAAATATCTCAAACTATCCTTTTAAATGTAGTCCATTAGGCTATATTGGAATAAAACCTCATATATTCTTTAGTAAAGGATGAAGAGAAGAAAAAATATATAACAGCCTAAATAAATAAATAGTTTTCTAGCTGAATACTTGGAGTCAGATTTGACTTATAAGGGAGATGAATCAAAAGTATAGCTGCAGCACCATTTTAAGTCTCTTTGTGTAAAGAAGAGTGTTTAATCTGACTTGTATATTTATGTTGCAGTCTGTGAGCACACTTTAGAAGGAAGTAGCTACATAAGCATTGCCACGCAGGAGCAGACCCAGTGGCGGTGTGATTGAGTGGATAAGCCGCTCAGATGCGTGAATCCTGAGAT